GTCTCCACACGAGCACACACCCCGCACACACACCAAATGCACATACCATAAATTAAATTTTTGTTTTTAATTATGTTTGTGCATCTGTGTGTGAGTGTGTGGGCCTGATGAATGAGAGTGTCCAGGGAAGCCAGAGGCATCTGATGCTGCTGGAGCTGATTGTGGGCCGCCTAACGTGAGCGCTGAGAATGGATCGTGGGCCTTTTGCAAGAGCTAAAGCCCCCCTTAACTGTCGAGACATCTTTCAGCACCAAAGAAACCTTTTTTTTTTTTTTTTTTTTTTTTTTTTTTTAAGAAAGTGTTAAGCGGGGGCTGGGGATGCAGCTCAGATTGTAGACTGCTTTTCTTGTATGTGTGAGGTCCTGGGTTCGAGTCCCCAGCACTGCATAAACCAGTTGCTGTGGCAGCAGAAGCTCAAGAACACTATGGGCTACAGAAGGAGTTCAAGGCCATCCTTGGCTACGTGAGACCGAGTCTCCAAAAAACAACAGCAGCAACAAAAGCTGCTGGGAGAAGCTGGTGAGATACGGAGTTAAGGGAGGAGGAGGAGGAGGCAATATGAAGGAGTACAGTTTTATGATAAAATGAAAGAAAGGAGCTTAAGGGCTGGGGAATGGTCCAGCCATTAAGAGTGCTTGCTGGCTGGGTGCAGTGGCACACGCCTATAATCCCAGCACTCGGGAGACAGAGGAGGGCAGATCTCTGAGTTCGAGGCCAGCCTGGTCTACAAAGTGAGTTCAGGACAGCCAGGGCTACACAGAGATACCCTGTCTCGAAAAACAACCACCACCAAAAAAAAGGGAGGGGGGCTTGCTCTTCTTCCAGAGAACTTGACTTTGGTTCCCAGCACCCACACTGAGCAGCTCACAACTGCCTGTAACTCCAGCTCTAGGCAATACAGCACCTCTTCTGCCCTCCGTGGGAACACACACATGTGGACTAACTCTTCACACGGGGGAGAGAGCATGTGCCAAGGTCCTGGTGTGGGACAGAGCACATCAGGTTCCACGGAAAGGATCCTTGAGAGATCGGACAGTCTGTGACAGATAGGGTTGAGTCGCCTTGAACTTGGCAGTGGTGAGGCGGACGACACAGCTGACCAGGAGCTCAGCCCAGGCCAGCTGGGCAGGCGAGGCTGCCCGGGAGGGAAAGCTAGAGGGAGAAAGTGTCTCCTCAGGCTGGGATGCAAGGCTCTGAAGGGCAGAACATTGCAGGGAGTGGTTCTCCTGTCTCTTCCTATGTGGGCTCAGGCTTTCACCTGAGTGCAGCTAGGTCGGTGCTTGGGCATGCACACCAGTCCCTGGTCAGAGCCACATCTCTTGATGAAACGAAGTTTCTGATTCAGGCTGTGTCCTGGTTTCATTTCTACTGCTAGGATAGAATACTCTGACAATAGGCCAGTCATGGGGCCTGGAGAGGTGGCTCAGTGGTTAAGAAAACTGGCTGCCCTTCTAGAGGACTGGGCTTCATTCCCAGCACCCAGATGGCCGCTCACAATCATGTGTTTGTAACTCCAGTCGCAAGGAATCCAATGCCTTCTTCTGGCCTTCACAAGCACCACATGCATGGCGCTCAAACATACATGTAGGGAAAGCAGAAAATACAAAAATTGTATGCATTTTTTTTAGCAACTTTGAAAAGTGCTCATTGTAGTTCACAGTTCCAGATCACAGTCCATCACTACAGAAAAGTCACAGTGGCAGGAGCCTGAGGTGGCCGGCTGGCCACATCACATTCACAGTCAAGAGCAGGAAGAAGTGAATGCATGCTTGCTTGCTTGTCCTTGCATTCTCCAAGCTCATGCTGTTCTGAAGACCTTGCCTGGGGAATGCTGCTGCCCACAGTGGGCTGGGTCCCCCCACAACAGTTAAGAGAGTCCCGCATAGACAGGCCCACAGCCAACCCAGTGTGGACAATCCCTCACTGACACTCTCTTGCCAGGTGCCTCTGGGTTGTGTCAGGTTGACAGTTAAAACTAACCATTGCAGCGGGCCTGGGCAAGAAGCCCCGGCTGTATGCTAACCAGCTCCCCTGTACTGTGGACCATATCCTGAGCAAGAAGGCTCCTCCTGCTGGAGCATGTCACCCCCATTCCCAGCACCCCTTGTGCATCTGCTGAGAAGCCTTCAGTGACCGCCCCTCGCTTTCCACGCCACCTCAAGCTTGGGGTCAACTCCAGATGTTTCTGCTTAAAAACTGTCCCTAAAACAAGTTTGGAACAAAGTCCCTTTTCTTTGATTTTTGAGACAGGACCTCGTGTAGCCTTCAACACCTCCTGATCCTCCTGCTTCTGAGCCCTGCGATGGCAGGCGTGCGTCACCACACCTAATATAGTGTTTTGTAAAACTCTCTACCCCCTCACTCGTTCAAGTTTACATCTGCAGATTTTACCATGTTTGCCAGTGTGATTTCCCGAATATTATAAATATTGATATTTTGAAGTGAAACCATGACATCACTTTTAAATTTACCCCACGGAACCTAAACACCCTAGCCGTTTAGGACGTGCCCATTACTCATTTAAAACACGCACACAGTGTCCTCTGTTCTTTCTTGAAACTTTATTTGTGTTTCACTTCCCCGTGGAATTCTGTATGTAATATATTTTTAGGTTAAAACCTCTTTCGTTTGTGTCCCCATCCTACTTCTAACAACTTTATATAAACCTGCGTTTTTCAGTTTTCAAATTATGAAGCTGTGTTAAACTTTCTTCTGGTTTGAGTTATGATTATTGATAATATATAGTTGATCAAACGACACAAATGTACAACAGACAGATAAATAATAAAGAGGAAAGGTAAAATTATACTGAAAATGTATCTCAGGACAGTGGTGCTGAATGACTTTTAAAAAATAAACTTTTCACTGGGCTGGACTGTAGCCCAGTTGGTTTTCCTCACCTGCGTCAGGCCCTGGTTTTAATCCCCAACACTGTATAAAGTTCCTGTAACCCCAGCACTTAGCAGGTAGAGGGAAGAGGATCAGAAGCTGAAGGTCATCCTCACAGCAAGCTGGAGGCCAGCCTGGGCTATAGGAAACCACAGACAGACAGCTCACTGCTTAAGGGCACTTTCTGCTCTTCCAGAAAACTAGCTCAGTTCCCAGCACCCCGTGCTCCCGTTAGCCCAGCTCCAAGGGACCTGACACCTTTTGGTCTCCATGAACACCCAGACTCGTGTGCATAAGCACATATAAAGAAATAATTAAAATAAAATAAAAAGAATTAAAAATGATCTAAGAAGATTACTTGCTGCTAGTGTGAGAGCAGCGCCATTCTTTCCCATCTGTTCACACGTAAGTACAGAAAACCATCATTCATGCTTGATAGGAGGAACACAGGATTTCATCTTTAAAAAAATAAAGGAAGAAAGAAAACCTCAGAGCTGGAGAGATGTTTCAGTGGCTAACGAGCACTTCTGTCCCCGGGGATGTAGGTTCAGGTCCCAGCGCTCGCATCAGGTGGCTCACGGGGGACCCAACACTGTCTGGCCTCAGCAGGTACTGCACACACGTCATGCCCGTGAGCTCACGCAGTCACACACACACGTTTTGAAGTGAGTGCCTCTCGCTGATGGTTAGTGTGTATGGTGCCAGGAATCCCGCCCCAGGGTCGTTTGTCATATGTGATCGCTGAGCCACTCCGCTAAGTACACCTTTTGTTAAAGCGGAGTTACTCGACCCGCTTCTGAATTCTATACCAAAAACCACATCGTGACCCGGCACCCAAAAATTTGCATTTAGTTCTCTCTAGCAGAACCTCCTTTTAAATGCTCTGTATTTATAATTGTGTGAGTTTGTTTGGGAATGGGTGTGCATGCCATGTCATGGATGTCAGGGTCAAAAGACAACTTTGTAGAGCCATAGGATTTCCTTTGGGATTTTTTTTTTTTTTGCAAAGATTTGGGGTGTGTGTGTGTGTGTGTGTGTGTGTGTGTGTGTGTGTGTGTACACGAGTGCATACGCATGTACATGTGTACAGGTAGCATAACAAGCCAGAGGAGGGCATCGGATCCCCTGGAGACGGAGTTACAGGAGGTTGTGAACGTCCTGGCTTGGGTGCGGGTAACTGAACTCAGGTCTTCTGCAAGAACAGGAAATGTTCCTTAACCACTGAGCTATCCCTCCAGCCCCATAGAACTTAATAAGGAAAGAATTAGAAGACAGGCAGTGGTGGTGCACATCTTTAATCCCAGCCCTTGGGAGGCAGAGGCAGGTAGATCTCTGTGAGTTCGAGGCCAGCCTGGTCTACAGAGTAAGTTCTTGGACAGCCAGGGCTACACAGAGAAAACCCTGTCTCAAAAAACAAAAAATCAAATAAAATTTAGAAACAAGAAAGTGGTCCAGTGGAATGCTTCAGCAGGTGTAGGAGCTTGTGGCGGACCCTGATGATCCAAATTCCGTCCCTAGAATCCACGTGGTGGGAGGAGAGAGTTGACATTTTCATGTCTGGAGTGCGAGCACGGCAAAGCCTTCCTGGGCCCCCGGAAAGTCACAGCCCAGTTTGAAAATGGCTGAAGCACCAGAATTGAAGCGGGGAGGGCTTGGACGGTGGCTCCTTGGGCTGCACAAACACGAGGGCCTGAGTTCAAATCCCCAGCACCCGTCTGAAAAGCTCGGCGTGGCTAGCTGTGGCTATACTTCCGGGGCTGGGGGTGGCGTAGAGAGGGCCATCGTTAGGGCTTGCTGGCCACTAACTTAGCACAGGGTTCTTTGAGAGACCCAGGAATGGGGTGGGGATTGCAGGAACAGGACACCTGACGTCCTCTGACCTTACACGCCCTGCATGGCGGTAGGCACCCCACGGCACTCCCACGGAAGGCAGTTCTCTCCTTCCACCTCATGGGTCCCTGGATTTGAACTGAGGTCACCTGGATTTGAACTGAGGTCATCGGGGAGTGCCTTAAGCTGCTGATCCATCGCACTGGACCCTCTATTAATGATAACGACTGGTCCAGAAACCTCCAGGGAAATAATTGTGTCCTTTGCATCCTGTCTTTCAGGCGTGAAGGCGTTTGCACCACGGTGCCGGTGCCGTCTGCTCCATACCTCAGCCCGGGTGAGGATGTAGACGACGCGACTCTGCAGATGCGTGGTTCAAGCCAGCGGGAGCCCCTGCCTCCGGCCACCCTCACAGACATGTCAGCCGTGGAGTAGGGCGGACCCTTTCTCTCATCTTCTCAGGGCTTCAGGATTTTTGGATTCTCTTCATTTTCTATTTTTTTTCACACACTCTCTCTTGTGGCTGAACGTTCATAACCAAGGCGGACACCATGGGGGACCAGCAGCTCTACAAGACCAACCATGTGGCCCACGGTGGCGAGAACCTCTTCTACCAACAGCCCCCCCTCGGTGTTCATGGCGGGCTGAACCACAGCTACGGGAGTACCATCTCGGGGGCTGGCATGGAGGCCCCACAGGCCTCGCCCCTCTCGCCTCACTTCCCTCAAGATACTCGGGATGGCCTGGGCTTGCCCCTCGGCTCCAAGAACCTTGGCCAAATGGACACCTCCAGGCAGGGAGGGTGGGGGAGCCACGCAGGGCCTGGGAACCACGTCCAGCTTCGGAGCAACTTAGCCAACTCGAACATGATGTGGGGGGCGCCGGGCCAGGTGGAGCCCAGTGAGGGCTACCAGTATACCTATTCCCAGGCCAGCGAGATCCGGACCCAGAAGCTCACCAGTGGCGTTTTACACAAGCTGGACTCTTTCACCCAGGTGTTCGCCAACCAAAACTTGCGAATCCAGGTCAACAACATGGCCCAGGTGCTGCACACCCAGTCTGCGGTGATGGACGGAGCCTCCGACAGTGCCCTCCGTCAGCTGCTCTCTCAAAAGCCTGTGGAGCCCTCGGCGTCGGCCATAGCCTCCCGTTACCAGCAGGTACCCCAGCAGCCTCACCCTGGCTTCACAGGGGGGCTGCCCAAACCGGCCCTCCCCGTCGGGCAGCACGCTCCCCAAGGGCACCTGTACTATGACTACCAGCAGCCCCTGGCCCAGATGTCAATGCCAGGAGGACAGGCCCTGCCAGCCCCCCAGGTGCTGCCCAGCCCTATGCAGCCTCTGCAGCAGCACCAGTATTACCCACAGCCGCCGCCCCAGCAGCAGCAAGCTGGGCTGCAGCGGATCTCCGTGCAAGAGATGCAGCAGCAGCAGCAGCAGCAGCAGCAGATTCGCCCCTCCCAGCCTCCGCAGCAGCAGCAGCAGCAGCAGCAGCAGCAGCAGCTCCAACTGCAGCAACGGCAGGCTTCACTGCAGATACCTCAGTATTATCAGCCCCAACCCATGATGCAACACTTGCAAGAGCAGCAGCAGCAGCCCTCGATGCACCTGCAGCCCGCTTCCTACCACAGGGATCCCCATCAGTATGCCCCGGAGCAGGCACACGCTGTCCAGCTGATCCAGCTGGGCTCCATGCCTCAGTATTACTATCAGGAGCCCCAGCAGAGCTACGGCCACCCCCTCTACCAGCAGAGCCACCTGCCCCCGCCCCAGCAGCGTGAGGACAGTCAGCTGAAGACGTATTCTAGCGACAGGCAGACTCCGGCTGTGCTGAGCTCCCACGGGGACATGGGGCCTCCTGACACGGGGGTGGTGGACCCGGCCAGCTCAGAGATGACCCGAGTCAGCAGCACCCTTCCTCACCAGCCGCTCCTGTCCCCCAGCGGCATCCACCTCAACAGCATGAGGCCTCAGCATCAGCAGCCGTCTCCCAGCTCGCTGTGGCCCCAGGTATCTCCAAGTCAAAGCTCCTCCCCGTAGCGGCACGCACAAGAGACTCAGCCAGGCAGGCATCTCTGCGGTGCCCAGTTCTCTCTCCAGCCTTCATCCTTCACAAAGGTTAACCTACCTGTGCCAGGCACCGAGTGTGTCGGGCACTCAGGATGCCAGATCTGTGTGGCATCTTGGCCCTTGGCCCCAGGGATTTGTCATCTCCCTAAGAGGATGGCCAGAATATTGTAGTATGTCCTGAATGGTTCATGTAATGATGAGGACCTAGAGTCAGGGCCTCCAGGTGGGGAGTGTCGATGGCTCATTTCAGCCATGATAACTCAGTGGGGAAAGGAGCTTGCTGCCAAGCCCGAGGGCCTGAGTTTTAACCCCTGGGACCCAGGAGAAAGGAGAGACCTGACCCCCACAATTCCCTGTCACTCTCCACACACGCTGTGGCAACACATATGCACAGACGTAAGAAATAAAATTATCGATGTGGACAGTGCCTGGACGACAACAGCCAAGGCTGACCTAACCTCTGGCCTCCACTCCCACGCCCACGTGTGCATATGTAGCCACATGCGCCTGCACACGTACAGATACGCACATGCACAGTGTCGATAACAGAGGTGAGGGCACCGCATCCTTGTCTCATCCCCATCGAATCTCTGTCCTCGACACGGATTGTCCTCTGACCTCTGCACAAACACCGTGCACATGCGCGCCCTCCCCCACATAGGCAGGCACCACTTCTCCACACGCCATCCGTGCACTCCTATTCACAAAGGCTTTTGTTTCTGTTTTTCAGTCCTATCAGGTCTCCTGGAATGATGCGGCGCCACCCATAGCCTCTCTGTCCTTTGTGGGGCTAGACCGTTAGTGCAGGATAGATACCAACAGAATGAGGATGGTAGAAGGTTGCGTCCTAGTAGGCGTGGCGCTGTCATCAGCCGTGAGTTCAGGGAGTAGGGGAGAAGAAGCCAGATGCAGAAGAAAGGCAGGACATGTCAGGGTCATCGTGAGCAGAGAGACTTCTGCAAGCGGGGATCCCGATGTGCAGCGACCACTTACGATCGCTAGAGATACATGTTTGGTTTTTCTCTTTTCTTGTTTTCCTTCGGTGTCCTCTTTGGCTCAAAATCAGATGCACCTACCTGATGGGAGAGCCCAGCCAGGGTCCCCGGAATCGAGGTATGACCACAGATTTGGAATATTTCCCAGGCTAGGGGCGGGGTCTTCTTGGGTTGTTTAAATAACTCATGTCTAAAGCCAAGGTCAACGTTTCAAGGAAAGTATAGGAAAAGCAGTAGCAGCTGTGCTTCGGGGCTTAACTGTATATTTAACCCACATAGAGTGGAATAGCAGGGAGGCAGGGGCTGCTGCTGGACGCTGGCCGATTTTAAGTCCTCCTTATCCTCATGTTAGACGTGAGGAGGCTGGGCACAGAGAGCTGAAGGCACACCCAGGGCAAGGAGCACCAGCAGGTTCGGTTTGGCTGCCGTGTGCTCTGTTCTTTGGCCATTCAGTCACTGCGGATTTACCGAGCACTGTCTGGGTACCGGGCTTAGAGCTGGGCTTTGGCCGTGTGGCGGTGAATAGCACACACTCCCTTCCTTCTCTCGTGGCCACTGGGGGTGGGAGGTGGGGTGCATTGAAAGCCGTGGGTGAGAAAGCCCTGGTGCCGGAATGATGGAGGACGTGGCCTCCTGTATGATTCGATCTTAAGGCACCTTTTTCTGCCGGGGAGATGGCTTAGCCAGAAAGAACACTTGTTGGTCTTGCAGCAGACTGGAGTTAGGGTCCCAGCACCCACAGGAGGTGGCTCACAGTGGCCTGTAACTCTAGCTCCTGGGGATCCGGTGCCCTCTTCTGGTCTCCCTCCGTACCAAGCACACATACAGTGTGCACATACACGCAAGCAACTGAAACACTACACACACACACACACACACACACACACACACACACACACACACACAATTTATTTTAGAGAAAAGAAAGCCCTTCCAGGCCAATGGGGAGTAGAGGCACTAATGCCTGATGACAGAATCTGTACCCTGCAACATATATAATAAAAGGAGAGAACCGACTCCAAGTTTTCCTCCAACCTCACACACGCACTATGGCATACAAATCTAATTAAAAAAAATTTTTTTAAAGAAAGAAAGCCTTTGCTCTTTCTGAGCCTCAGTTTTTCTGTCTGTACATTGGGCGTTCGGTATCTCTGGAAGAGATTGAAGCCTCAGACAGCAGAAGATCAGATAAATAAAGTGGGTTCATGGTAGGTGTGAGGCCTTGTAATAAGTTCTCGTTTCCCCTTCCTCAATGTGTGTCCTTTCCTTGTGCCACTTCAGCAGTGGCCAAACCAAAGGAGCGTTTGGGGAACAGTTCGATGCCAAGAACAAGCTGACGTGCTCCATCTGCCTGAAGGAGTTCAAAAGCCTGCCTGCCCTGAATGGCCACATGCGGTCCCACGGGGGAATGAGGGCCTCCCCCAGCCTCAAACAGGTCAGCAGGAGCCCACCTTATCCTTTGCAGGTCATGTGCTGCTTGCTTTGCTTTGCTGCTGTCAGAGTGAGACAGGGGGGCGGGGTGCCTTTTGGGGGCGCCAGGAGAGGCCCAGGCCTCCCTGGGAGGCAGCCAGATCACACAGTCCCCACTTCCCTGGCTTCGTAGACAGATGTCAAGAGAGGGGTGTTAGAAATCTCTTTAGGAAAAACTGTCTCCTTTTCTAGGGAAGGGTGTAGAGGAAACTGCATAAATGTGAAGTATATGAATATGTAAAGGCAGAGTATATAAATATGTAAATGCGGCACATACGACTTGAGGCACTCAGGCCAGATGGTCTCTGAGATCAGTGGTCAGTGGCTAAGCAAAAGCTTGCAACTCTCAGGCTCTTGGCCAGAATTTTCTGTCCATCCATAAGGTGGTGACTGGCTGTCAGTAGGGTCCAGTGACCCTTTATGCTCTCAGGATTATCCAGGTGCATAGTCACGTGGGAGACCGTCTTTCGGTTAGGTGAAAACCCATAGAATTTTCTGATATTTCTTTGAATATTGATTTTGTGAGATTCACTCTCCGATCTCCATTTCCTGGCTGTGCCAGATAAAAGAGTTTGTCTTCACTTTTTTATTTATTTTTATTTTGCGTGCACTGGTGTTTTCCCTGCATACATGTCTGAGCAAGGCTGTCAAATCACTTGGCTTTACAGACAGTTGTGAGCTGCCATGTGGGTGCTGGGAATTGGACTCAGGTCCTCCAGAAGAGCAGCCAGTGCTGTTAACTGCTGAGCCATCTCTCCAGCCTGTCTTCACTTTTTAAAAATAGTATGTTGCCTGGTGGATCATGGCTTCTGCCTATATGATCCCAGTGCTCAGGCGGTAGAGACAGGAGGATCACTGCAAGTTGAGGCTAACCTGGTCTACGTAGCAAGTTCCAAGCTAGCCAAAGCAACATAGCAAGATCGTGCCTCAAAACCAAGAGAGGAAAATGTATTTTTCAGCCTGGTGTGGTACCGCACGCCTCTCATCCCAGCACTCGGGAGGCTGAGGCAGGAGGATCCTGAGTTTGAGGCCAGTTTGGCTACCTCTTGAGAACCTGTCTCAAAGAAAAAGACAAGACCATAGCCTATTTTGCATTTTCAATGGGGTTTCCCAACCTGAATAAAATTTAGGCTGCAATGACTGTTTCCATTAGACACCTGGGTAAACTGAGGCCCAAGGAATGGAAAGCTCGTACATAAGATCACATATTTAACTCCTTTTTAATATTTTCATATGTAAGTGATAGTGTAAATGCAGCTCAGGGACCTCAAGTCACAGGCAGGAAACCACCCAGCTGTGGTTTTCTGTGGCTCCCAACCACCGTTGCCCTGGAACCTCTGAGGAAAAAGCAAGTTCCCCTTGGGAGAGCTGCCCGCAGCCCAGGATCAAAGCCTTTATTGTCTACGTAGGAGGAAGGAGAGAAGGCCCCACCGCCTCAGCCTCAGCCTCAGCCCCAGCCGCCACTGCCACCTCCGCCTCCACCGCCACCGCAGCTCCCTCCTGAGGCAGAACGCCTCACGCCTATGGTCATGCCCGTGTCTGTCCCTGTCAAGCTTCTCCCGCCCAAGCCCAGCTCTCAGGGCTTCACCAACAGCGTCGCTGCCACCCCCTCGGCCAGAGACAAGCCAGCCAGCTCGATGTCGGACGACGAGATGCCTGTGCTCGTGAGGATGAGCCTCTCCCCCCCTCACTCTCCCCAAGGGGCTGCCCCCCGTGCGCCTGCTGTGAGTTGCTGCGCTGCCACACCTGCCTGGGGTGGGGACGTCTCTTTGCTTTCTTGGAGATGAGGAACACTTGTCCAGAGTCAGTGGCCTAAGCTCAGACGTGATAAAGTCTCCCTCCCAGGTCCAAGCTTTCCAGGCCACCTGCCCTTGACCACCCATGCCATACTTGTTACTACACACACACACACACACACACACACCCAGGCTGATGGCCCGGATCCAGTTCTGAGATTCTGAAGCGTTCTCATGCTTAAACGTAAATGATAACCCAGTTGGCAGACATCAATATAACCCTGCCAGTTATTAAGATGTGAAAAGGATCTTTCTGCTGACCAAAAGATGTTGCCCTACCCTGGCCCTTTCCCAAGACCTTTGGGTCTTCCCAGATCCAGTTGCCAAAGAGGTAACCCTGGGAATGGCGGCACCTCTGGGAAGTAGCTGCAGCATCGGCTCACGTGATCTGCCTGGTCAGGAGCTTCCTCGTCACACCTGTTTAAATACACTGGGGACGCAGGTCCATGGCAGTTCCCATAATAAGCCCCAATGAGAGCCAGACACTGTAAATCTCAGGAAAGCAAAGTGATTCGTGTTTCTCACTCACTGTTAAGTTCTCCTTGCCTTCATCACCCCCTCCTCTTCTCTCTGCCTCTTCTCTCTACCCTGGGGAATTTATGACCTCCACGGTTGGCCTGTCCCTTCCCTGAGAGTACTGTGTTGGGTCTTAAATGTCCTGAGAGAGTGAGTGGCTCCTGGAAGTCCAGAGGATATAAGGGGAGGGTGGAAATGTTTAGAAAGAGCCATTTTGGGTTCTTCTGGGACATTGAGGCCCAGAAGCAGAGAGGCTGGGGAGTGACCTCCATTTTCTGGCCGGAGGGGCCCAGCAACAGACAAAGACGAAACAGCTCATCTGCACGCACACCCCTTGCCTGGGGAAGTTTTGAGGTTTGCTGTGAGAGGCTCTGGGTCTATCCCGGAAGTCCTCGTCACACAGGGATTACAGCCACCCATCTCATTTAAGACAGTGAGAAGAGGAGGGCTAGGGAGAAGCTGGTACCCTGGAGCTGGGAAGATGGAAAAACAGATGTCTCTTGTCTCTTGTTTCCTCTTACAAGGTTCTTAGCTTTACGTAAGAGTAAAAGGTCTACTCTGAATTTTAGATCTTGGCCTTCTCCCGGGCTAGTGACATACAAGCTTTCTTTCCCAGTCATAAGTGATCATAAGAGGAAAGACTAGAGACTGCTGTGCCCTGAGTTGCAGAGCTAGGGTGCTTTGTGGGTGAGTTGCATTAACTGCATTTTAAACTTAGTATTTTTGTTTTACTGTGGGATATTCAGATTGTAGCTCCATCAAAAATCAAGGGGCTGGGGCTGGAGAGATGGCTCAGCAATTAAGAGCATTGTCTGCTCTTCCAGAGGTCCAGAATTCAATTCCCAGCAACCACATGGTGGCTCCCAAACATATTACTGGGATCTGATGCCCTCTTCTGGCATGCAGGTGTACGTGCAAATAGAGCACTCAGAAATAATCAATCAATCAATCAATCAATCAATCAATCAAGGGGCACCTGTATACCAAGTAGATGGGTTCTACAAGCAAGACGATGATGGTATTTTTGCTTAGGAGACCATTACGGGAGTTCTGAGTAGACTGGGTAGGTAGGGATGAACGTGGCTTAATGCAGGGGTGAGAGATACCACCTGCTGACAGGCAGGCTGAAGTAGAAGCATGCACGTGAAATGAGTTAAAAATGAAAGTCAAGTCCCTGATGTAAAAACAATTTTAAAACCCAGAGACAAACCCAATTCCAATCTTAGGTCTGGGATAAAGCCACCTTGAGAATGCCCCCCACAGAGTCTCAGTTTCCCCTAGAGCATTACACTTCCCAGTGGCCTTCACCCTCCCCTCGGGGCAGGAACTTTATAAGACCGACCCCCTGCGTCCACCGTTTAAATACTTCAGTATTTCAGTCTGGGTGGTGCTCTCTGATTCAGAGAGCCATGCCTGGGCGATAATAAAACTCCATTTAGAGCTGGAGGCACCAGAGTCTTAATAGGACTTCTGACCCTGTGATCGTTAAGTTTGGGCTCCCGGGCAGAGTTGAGAGCACCAGGATCTCCACCTTACTTTAAAGAGCTCTTCAGTGACCTAGGGACAGGGCTAAAAAATTTTCCAGATTTGCTCCTCAGGTGAGGGCGGGGATGGCAAAGCTGCCTTTTCCAAACATTGTCCTCGGCAGCCTCTCCCTGCTCCTCGGGGTCTCTGCTGGGCCTCGGGCAGTGAGGCGGCCCTAGGTGAGGAAAGCAGGAAGGCTGGAGGGCACTGGGCTAAGGAGACCCCCGTTGGCGCTGCCCCCGGAGCTCCCCGCTCAAGCCGGGAGCCCCTCGCCCCCTCCTCCCTCACTTCTACCTCCCGAAGAGCCCCGGTCCTAGAGGTTGGGATGGCACCTCAGGAGAGGTAGAGGGCGTGAGGGTAGGGGCAGAGCCCACGGTGCCGAGGACAGGCCGGTAAGAGGGGCCCGACGCTGAGGGGCCCCGAGGCAGGTCACATGGCCTGGAGGCAGCAGGTCATGTGACCATGAGAACCTTTCCCATCACCCCTTGCTGCTGTCTTCACTCGCCACTCTGGCACTAGAGCTGCTGGGCACTGCAGCTGTGCCCGGGCACCTCAGAGCCTCTCCACAGGTATCCCGGCTGGCTGTCACACCCAGCTCTCGGCTTCTCTGGGTTGATACTGGCCCCTGATTCAAGCCTGTTTCTGTCCGGCTTTGGCATACCCTGCTTCTCTCTTTGACGTGCACGTGTGGACCCACTAGTCTAGATGAAGCCGTGTGGCAGGTCCCTAGACGAGGCTAGGTTGTCCAGCCACAGCCTAAGCTTGCTCTGCTGACAGGAAGCAGGAGGAGATGAGGGCTCCACAGAGGAGCCCCAGGGGGCCGTGGCAGGGGAGGGTCACCATCTCCATCTCCAGGAGAGCCCGTTGAAACGGCTTTGAGGATTGTAGGCCACCGTGCCCGGGGCCTCAAGTAACCCTGTTGAGCCGTGTTGACGCTGTGCTAGGCGTGGACCTCTTCCTGTCCCCTCAGCCGTGGGCCGTGCATCCCTGAAAAGAAGATTCTGTCTCCTGCTCAGAACACGTGTGAGCTGTCCCTGCAGGAGCAGTGGAGGGACTAAAGAGCCACTGCTGGGCTCCACTCGGGACAGACAGAAATGTGGCCATAAGCCAGAAGAATATGAATTTATTTCTTCTTGCCGACCCACCCTACCCTTTGCAGAGCTTCCGGATTTTTATTTTTATTTTATTATATATATATACACACACACACACACACACACATATTTTATTTTTTTAATTTTTTTGCTAACCAGCTCAAAGCCGATGTGGTGGGAGTAGGAGGGGATGATCAGAAAGGAGGCAGTCTCTCCCCCACCCCCTTAGAACCTTCAAGATCCCTGCCAAATCTCTAGAAAGGGGCCATGGCCAGGATAGAAAAGGGACGATGGCTGGGATGTCCTAGTTTGAATCCCAACTGTTCCTCTCACTCTAGGAAATCCCCCGGAAACATCATCCACCCGTTGCCGCCAAAGTTGAGGAGCCCCTCAAGACCCTACCGGAGAAGAAGAAGTTCCGGCACCGGCCTGAGCCCCTCTTCATCCCGCCGCCGCCTTCTTCCTACACGCCCACCTCCTACTCGGGGGCCACCCTGTACCAGAGCCAGCTACGCTCCCCACGAATCCTCGGGGACCACCTGCTCCTGGACCCCACCCACGAGCTGCCCCCCTACACGCCGCCACCCATGCTGAGCCCTGTGCGCCAGGGCTCAGGGCTCTTCAGCAATGTCCTCATCTCGGGCCACGGCCCTGGAGTGCACCCCCAGCTGCCCCTCACTCCCCTCACGCCCACGCCACGCGTGCTGCTGTGCCGCTCCAGTGAGTCGACCCTTAACCCCTGGTGTCACCCCTGTGGATGCGAATACTACCCTGATTGGTGGGGGTGGGGGAGAAGTCTCACTTTTTTAACCCGCTGGTTTACTCCTTGGACTTCTCTACAGTATCAGTTCCACTGAGGTGATACTGAAGTGTTCTTAAAGCACCCCCTCCCCCCATCTAATTAAGTAACCCAAGGGAATCTGAGCGAGTGAAAGTGTCTTTGGGATAGGAAAGGGGAAATATGCACACCAAAATTGCTTCAGATGGTCATACAAGGTGCATAAGATAAATACTTAGCAGATGTACATGTGGGGTTGGGTATTAAAAGCAAGAGCAAATCTTAATAGTTAGCATGCTTTATAAGGAAAAAAAAAAAAAAAAAAGACAACCATAAACTCTGTAGGCCCTCCAGGAGTATAGTTCCAACTACCATAGAAGATTGAGGCAGAAGGATGGGGTGTTCAAGACCAGCCTGGGAAGCACAGGAAAACCTCATCTCCTCAGTAGTTATTGAGGGGGCAGAAGGGAGAAGAGAGATCTTTGTAGCTAGGTTTCTTTCTGGTTGCCTAGAAACCAAGTAGCTTATTAGCCAGCCAACTTTTCCTCACACTGGGTGAGAAATGATTATCTTCTGCCTGTAATCCCAAACACTGAGGCTTAACTCTGGAGGAAAGGAAGTTCAAAACCAGATTGGGCCACACATCAAGATCCTGTCAGGTGGCTGAAGGAGGAGGAGGAGGAGAGAGAAAGAGAACCTCGTGAATTCATCTGATTCTCTAGAAATTAATGTGGGTTGGACAGGAGCAGATCCTTGTTACTGGTAGTTGGCTAATAACTGGTGGACTAACTTCTCATTTGTTTTCATTTATTAGGAAGTTTTCCTTGTTGTCCAGTAAACTCTACCTTTTGTGTTTCAGGCAGCATCGATGGCAACAATGTGACAGTCACCCCAGGACCTGGAGAGCAGACTGTGGATGTTGAACCGTAAGGAATAGCCAATTATTCTTTAGAGTGCAAGTCTCAGACAAGGAAAGGTCCAGAAGCTCCTACAATGACAGTCAGTGTTCCATTGTCAGTGGCCACTGAGGGGAGAATTATGGACATGGTAGGATCATGGCTTTCTTGGGAACTACTGTTCCCTTCTAGCTGCTAGCATTTCAGAGTCTTTCCTTAGGACTAAAGGTGAAAGCCTGGACTCAAAACCTCTAGCATTCCTGCCACCACAGGCCAGCTTCTAGACTTGTACACTTTCATATCCCCGTGGCACTGAGGCCTCTCTCTTGAAGGTGCTTAAGTAAGAGAGAATCCTTCTGAATGTTCTTCCCACATCCCCTCTGAGACTCTGGGCCACTCTTCCAAATGGGCTTATTGAGTGTTTGAGTCATGCGTGATCGGTGGGAGGTACACACACACATTGGTGGCTTAACCTCCAGAGGGTACCTGAAACCCCTGACAGTACCCTGTCCTGTATGTAAGCACTACAGTCCACAACAGACTACCTGATAACTGAGACATACTCTGTCTAAACAGACTGTCAGAGAGACTGCCCCCAGCTGACTCTCAGGCAGGTGTTTTATACAGTGTGGCTAGTGTAGACGAGGGTGGTTCACATCTGGGCCAGGTAAAAGTGGATTGGCTTGAGATTTCATCACATAACTTGAAATGGCATGAAAGTTGCACTTACAGAATTATTTGCTTCTGGATTTTTTCCATTTAATGTTTTTTTTTTTTCTAATATTAATTCCATCTGAGTATCCCATCTAATATTAGCTGATCATGGGTAGCTGGAAACCACAGAACACTGTAGGAGAAGAGGCACTGCTTTACTATGGAAGGGAAAAGCGATTCTTCTGATGAATGTGCTTAGAAAACAGGCCATATGGTAGAGCCTTATGGAGTCCAGAATCAGAAAGCTTGAGTTGACACCATTCTGGTTTTGACCTGTACTGAGTCAGGATTTTTTTGTTTGTTTGTTTTTTGGGGTTTTTTTGTTTTGTTTTTGTTTGTTTGTTTTTTTGTTTTTTTGAGGTCTTTGTCGGTTTCTTGAATGGGCATTATGATTGCAGCCTTGTTCGTATCACAAATTTTTGTGAGCTTGGATGGCAGGATATTTGTAAAAGTGGCCTGGCAGGGAAAAGTACATTGTTACACGTTCATATTCCATCCCCTTCAGTTCTGTGGTATGCTCTAGCCATGCTCTAGGCAACTCCTCTCTTGAAATTAGCTGTCCTCCACTTCAGTTTCAGCAGAGAATTTTCAGACTGCCCCATTCCTCTGGCAGAAGAGTCTGCCTCCCTGCTGTTTTCAGTTGCCCCTGGCCTAGGCTGTCACATTGAAGACCACACTGTTTTTCTTGTCATCTTTTCATTAAAGACGGATCAACATTGGCTTAAGATTCCAAGCAGAGATCCCAGAACTGCAAGATGTCTCCTCCCTGGCTCAGGACACACACAAGGCCACACTGGTGTGGAAGCCGTGGCCTGAGCTGGAAAACCAGGCCCTCCAGCAACAAGGTACTGGCACTTAGGAGGCGCTGGGGCGGGTGAGGCTGGTACTCCTGCAAGGGACCTCTGGCTCCGGAATGGCTGTGGGTTTTCATGGCACCAGACATGTCTGATACAGTGGCTTCTTATTCTCAACAGTGGAGAATCTTCTGAATTTGTGTTGTTCCAGTGCACTCCCAGGTGGAGGGACCAACTCGGAATTTGCTTTGCACTCTCTCTTTGAGGCCAAAGGTGATGTGATGGTAAGGAAGCTAGGAAAGGAGGCTTTGTAGACACAGTAGCTCGGTGAGTAGGCCCGGACCTGGAAGCCTACAGAAAGCAAAGTTCCGCTTAAGACTCCTGCTGACATATATGATACTAAATTTTAATAAGGGGCACATCTGTTCTGCGAAATGAGAGTTTCACTTCATGCCGCAGTAATGGAGGTAGAAGGAAAGCCTGACTAAAACGAGAATTGGCCTGAAGGTCCTTCCTGTTGTGGAAATCAGCCAAACTTGGGTGTTTCCAGACCCTTTTTTCTCTAATGCACGTAGTGTTTTTTATTTTCTCACCTTTAGCATAGTTCTCAATGTTGGGGACCTTCACTGGGGACACTTAGATGTTCCCAAACTAGAACCATGGTCCCATCTTCCCAGAGTCAAAGCTGAGCACTTGTCTAGTCAGCCTTCACCTCTGGCCAGATAAGTCCATCGCTAGCCTCAGTTTCCCTTTTATAGAAGAACGTGGTTCTTCCTAGTACTAGAACTAGGCTCCTGCTTTTAGATTTTCTGAAAATGCAAAAAATAAACAAATGTGCCAAGACTTCATGTGTGATCTAGAATGCTTGCCTTTTAAGAGAACTTTCAACACACACATAAGTCACTATGGAGTATTCCTAAGATGTTTTGTGATTCAAAAGATGGCAGAGTTGCTGGGGGTTCTGTATTTCCTTCTCTTTTTTTTTCCTCCATTTTTATTTTATGTATATAAATGTTTATTGCCTGTGTGGATTTCTCCATTTATATTTTATGAGTGTAAATGTTTATTGCCTGTGTATAGTACACCACATATATGCAGTCTCTGTGGAGGCCAGAGGAGGGCATCAGATCCCCTGTAACTGGGGGAACAGGCTTGTGAGCCACCAGATGGTGCTGGGAATTGAACCTGGGTCCCCTGGGAAAGCAGCCAGTGCTTTAACCAGTGAGCCATCTCTCCAGCTCACAGGTTCTGGGTTTCTAAACAGCTCTTAAAGGTTGCTGAGGCTGCTGACCTATGCCTCAGAATAGCAAGATTTCTCTGTCTTGCACATCCCAAACTCATGCACTGTTCAACTCTGCTGTTGTCTTTTCTTTAAAAACCAAGATGGGGTGGGGGTGGGGGCTGGAGAGATGACACAGCAGTTAAGGTCACTGACACATAAAATAAAAACAAATAAATCTTAAATAAACAAAAACTGGATTTTGTGCAGTGAGCTTGTCAACTTGTCAACACAGGCAAATTCTTGGGTTTTGCTGGCCAGCCAGCGGGTGACCTCCAGGCCAGTGAGAAATACTATCTCAAAAAACACGGTGGACACAGCACTGGAGGAATGAATAACAGGCTGTCGTCTGACCTACACATGCCCACACACTTTCACACTCACACGTGCCTACACACGCACACATGTAGCCGCACGAGCATAGACATATGCACAAGACAGCTGAAGGTGACAGGCCTGAAGGGTTTACTTGGTCACACTCTGGAAGGACGGGGTGTGGTCCACTCACTGCTAATACAGTCAGCGAGAAAGAGAGCTGTGGTTTGTCTGTAAAGCAGCCACCAGCCATTCACCAGTCACCACGCCTTTCCCTCAAACCATCCTCCTGAGACTCCGCTTCCATGCAGAGAGACCCCACTCATCTCTCCAAAGAAGCACACAAGTCTCAGCTGCCCGTTTGCATTTTCTGTGATGTGACCAGTTAGCTTCAGGCATGGGCGAGGGGTTGGGGGTGGGGAGGTGGGTGTTAAAATGTCGGCTCCTGTTGGAGCCCAACTGAACTTCCCAGGCACCGTCTGCCCCTGGGTTTCCTTCCCCGTGGGTGGATAGTCTCCACCGGGACACACCCTTATACTGACTCCTGTCTTTTCTCTCTGAACCCGCAGGCTACTCTGGAAATGTTGCTGCTGCGGAAGCCAGTCAGGTTAAAATGTCATCCTCTAGCCAATTACCACTACGCTGGTAGGTTGCCAGGGCCCCGTGCCCTGTTGTTCCCTAAGAGTGGGCAGCTCACATAGTCAGCTGTGTGTCATTTCTAACAGATAGGGAACACTGAGTCTATTAGCCTAGCACTGCCAGGCATGGGTCAGCATGAACTCCGGCCCCTCGTGGATGTTCCAAGACCCGGGAGATGGTGCACAGTGGCTGCCCACCTGGCAGTGGGGCCTGGGCCTTAAAGGAAAGAGCCACCAAGGCTACAGTACAGAACAGACAACTATTAGTGGGCTGAGGCTGTAGAAGCAGTAAAGGTGAATCCATTCAGGTCTTGATCAAGGCCCTAGGGTTTCTATAGGGTTGATTTTTTTTTTTTCTGCTCAAACTGAGGCTTATATTTCACCTTTTACAGAGTTTTTCTGAAGACCAAAGATAGTGTACATAGCTCAGTGTTGGAACATCCTGTTAGCTCTTGGAGTTCAGTCATTCAATGGTTGTTTACTGGGTATAGAGTAGTGTACTAAGAAGTAAAATGCAAAAGTGCACCTCAGAATCTGCAAAGGTTGTGGGCTGGGGTGTAGCTCACTGCTTGCCTAGGATGTACAAAGTTCAAGGTTCTATTCCCAGTTCCAGAGAGAGGGGGGGGGGGCATGGGTCAATGTGAACTCCTGCCCCTTGTGAATGTTTCAGGACCCAGAACTCTCTGACCCAAGTGTCAGAGACAGAAAGGAGAAACAGAGAGCCACTTGGGTACTAGAAGAAAGACTTCATGCCTGCAAGTGTCTGGTGTGTTTGTGTGTGTGTTAAGTAAAAATACCTTTAGATTTAAATAGACTGAGAAGGAAATAGGCTGAGAAGCCTGAAGACAGCAAATGAGGCCATGAATGGCACTCTACTAACTGTGGAAACCCGTTGACTCTATCTCACAGTCTCACCTTAGTTGTCTACTTCAGAGTGGCTGGATCCTCCATTGCCCCTTGATTTTTTTTTTTAAAGATTTTATTTTTACTTAACCGTGTGTGTGTGTGTGTGTGTGTGTGTCTGTCTGTCTGTCTGTGCCTATATGTACATGCGCACATTAGTAGTTACCGCTAAGGCCAGAAGAGGGTGCCAGATCCCTGAAAGCCGGAGTTAGATGTGACTTTGACTCCCCTGACGGGAGTGCCGGGAACCAAATGCCTGTCCTTGCAAGAGCAGTGCTCCCAGTGCACAACTGGGCTGCCCACTGCCTCTCGATTTTTCATCACTTGAGGGTTTCTTTGGGTGCTTTGGGCAGACCTCCCCTAGGTAGATACTGAGTGCATGGTCTTGGGGATCTGTTAATACTATTTCCAGTCCCTCACCAGGCAATCAAACGCAGCCTGAAAGTGAAGGCTTCTTTACAGATACCGGAGCAACCACCATTTGTCTCTCCCTCCATCCTTATGATTCGAATTTGCCACCTGTTGTCACCAGACAGAAAGGCATCAAAGTTGTTTATGACGAATAGTGAACCCAAGGACACCTACCTGTGGGTCGGTTTCAGCTGACAGTACCTGGAAGAAAGAGGCAAGCACAAAACAGACACACGAGATTCACGGCATCACGTACCCAGGAGCCAAAGGCGCCAGCTTCACCATTGCCTGCTTGTGTGGCTAGAAAGATGTGGAGGCTCACCAATCCGCCAGGAGAATAGTTTCATCACCTCTTAATACCCAGCATCACCTGCTGCCCATTAAATCCTGATAGGCGGTCCCAACTTCCTGGATTCTATCCCAAACTGCCCTGCATCGTGGATGGGTCTGTGTGTGTGCAAAAAGAAGCATCAAGCACTGACTAAGAGATGCTGCTGTGGTTGACCTCAGGTCACACTGCCTAGCCAGAACCTTGGGGTTGGTCATGGCCAGCTGTGAGCCTCTTCATCCAAGACACAGTTCCTGTCCAGTTGTCCCCACTATGGTAAACAAGTACTATACTATTTTTATATACATCATGTCGCAAAAAGGACTGGAAAGCCATAGGCCAGAGCACCTCCACTTCAGCCCCAAGCAAAACAAAACATGAAAATGTTCCTAAGAGCTTTGAGTGTCTGCTGAAATACATGGAGCTGTTTGGACTGAGTATTGCTAGCTAATCGTTCCCCAGGCTCCTTACCTCTGGAGAACCTTAGGGAAAACTCTTCCTCTCTTAAGTCATTTCAGCCCCTGGAGACCAGAGTGGAAGTTATCATCACCTATCTCTTCTGGTCACTTGCCTACTTCTGGAGGTGATTGTAAACCAAGCCTCAGAGAATATTCTCGAATTATGAGCAGATGGGGCAGAAGACTGTTCCCTAAAGTCTGACACAGCTCCATACTTTTAACAGTTGCCTGCGAAGACATGCAAGACAGCTGAGTTCTTTACATCTTCTATCCCAGCCGCTGCGCCACACTCTGAAACCCCTGTACTAGGTTCCTGGGGGTGACTGAATTCTGCCCCATCATAGCCCTGGTCTACCTTGGCTTTTGTGCCCAGAGCCATCCTATTATTCGCCGTTGGACAGTCAGCTCAGTTTCTGCCTCACTGGGGCACCCACCTTCTAGAACTTCCTTGGCTTCCAGCTCTGAGGCTGTGACTGACCTGACTTCTGGAATTTCACTTTAGGCTCCCAGTTACTGTTCTGGTTTGCTCTCCATTGCTGTGATAAAACACAGAGCAAAACCAACCTAGGGGAAGAAAGGGTTTATTTGACATAGAGCTTACAGTCATCATTGAAGGAAGCCAAGGCAGGAAAGCAAGAGCTGAGGCAGGCCATAGCGGAACAAAGCTTGCTGGCTTGCTTACACCGGCTTCTTCAACTGCCTTTTTTACACAGCCCAGGCCCACATGCCCAGCGATGGCCCCAAGCACAAGTGGCCGGACCCTCCTCCATCATTAGCAGTTAAGAAAATGTCTCACAGACATGCTCACAGGCCAATCTGATGGAGCCAGTTTTTCCTATGTAGAAATTTGTGTCAAGTTGACCAGAAGCTAACTGGGCCACTTAGAGAAGGAAGCCAGATTCAGGCTTTGCTGTGCCCTGGAGGAAAGGCAGCCAGGCGGGGCCTCCTAAGCAGTCAGAGACAAGCCTGTGGAAACGCTCTTCTCCTTCACTCAGGACCAGGAGGAGGAGTGTTATGAAGCAGAGGACCAGTGAGCAGGGTGGGCATCTGGCCCAGACCTGACGGTGGCCCGCCAAAGCTGGAGGGGCTGTCCAGCGTCCTCAGAGAACAGCTGTGCAGTGCCTCCCAGCACTCATCAGTTCACACTGGGACACACTGTCCCTCTTGGCTCCCTCCATTCATGTGTGGCCAGCAGGCCTTCGCTGTGGCTTCACTTAGCATCATGTGGGGTGGGGCGTGTCATGCATGGGGGAGCCATGGTGGAGAGGCACCTGGTTTTGGTCAGACAGCTGGAGTAGCCGTAATTTCTCCACTGAAAAGGTCCCTGTACAGATGTACACAGTGTTAGGGATCGTAGAACTGGATCTAGCTTCTTGGGGTACAGCGAAGACTTCAGTCATGTCCCGCCACAGCCACAAGCACCCTCTGGGTCCTCAAAAGCCTGCCTTCAATTTTGAAAGATAATGAGACCTGGGAGGGACACCCTTTTCATAAGGAGAGTCTGGGCTCTTGTCCTGGGAGTCACCCAGGGTTAATAATGAGACAGAATTACATACTTGCTAGAATTACTTTGCAAAAAAAAGAAACACATCTGTGGGTGCTTTCCTTTCATTTTTACTATATAGTGGGCTTCTTACAGAAGGACCTGAGTCAGTACATTCTCTGTTGCCTCACCTGGCATAGCCTTTGCCAAGAAAATGTTCAGTGACAAGTTCAAAATATGGGTTCAAGTTGAGGTCTCCCTCCTTTCTGCACTTAGAAGAAACTTGAGTAGCAGCCTGCTTTCCTGGGGGTTGGAGGTGGGGGGGAACCTGACCTTCACCTGCTTTAGGTAACTCTGTATGACACTGAAGATCTGGCACAGTCTTCCGTTCTCTACAGCAAGCATTTCTTTCTGCTGTAACCACAATAACAACATCAGTAAAAGGTGGTTGTTTTTTTAATCCTGAAAGGAAGCCAAAGAGACCCCCTAAAAAAGATACTGTGTCCAAATTTTCTCTGCCCCAGGAATGTCTGTTTTTAATTGCCTGGATTCGCTGTAGATTGCCCCCAAATTAGCCACCATCCGGAGCCTGTTTCCCAGCAACCAAAGCTCAGCACATTTTTCCTCTAGATGCTACCCTGGTGCCCATTTCATCCAGTTAATTAGGTTCTTTGTCATTAGCCTTAATCGGCTTGTTAGGGGCCCCTGCTGATAATAGCCCAATAGCCAGGAATCCCCAGGTGGAACGAGTAAGTGGGAATGTCAGCCCACTAACCTCATTTGCCAGTCTAGAGGCCAGCGGAGCTCTTAGAGAGACAGAGCTGTGCGAACCCAAGCAAGGAGTTCCAGCAGGGACAGGCAGCCTTGGAGTGGCCACACGTGAGGGACGAGGTGTGTCCCAAAGCCTGAGCTGACACAGAATCTGCCTCAAGTGACTTGTGGAGACACATCATCTCCTGAGCACCTATTTGTGAGCAAACAGTGTTGGTCACTGTGAAGTAGCCACCGTCCCCAATTCAAGGGTGAGGAAACTTAAGTGGACTTTCCTGCCGTCACAGAAGGAAGAAATGCCAGGGGCACGCTCACAGCTGAAGCTCTTCTCACAGAAGTCACCCTTCGTCATGGCATAGTGATGTCATCTGGGGAGAGTGCTCAAATGTCACTTATCTATACAGGAATTCAGTCCCAGGACCAGGGGTGGAGCTTCAACCCCAGTGGGCAGTCCCTAGTCCCCAAGCACTGTCCTCTTCACACATCCTAGGACTGTACAAGAGCCATCTTTTCTAGGCTTGTGCGTTTCACCTGTCACTGTAGCCTCAAAGCAAGAGTGACAGGGAGAAGAAAGGGAGCCACCTCTTTCCTGGACTAGTGAAAGCCTCTGCCAGAAGACTTCTCAATAGAGCAACAACCCCAAGGCACCCCAACCCTAGGGGCCTTTTTTCTTCTTGAAATGTGGCAACTCCTGCCCAGCAGATGGACCAGCAAGCCTCTGGACACACAAAGGAGTGGATGTCTCAAAAGTAGGAAGAGCTGGAAACTTAACCCTGCTCTTTGGACTAGCAGTGAGACGGCCCAGCAGGGGGTAGAGGTAAGTGTAGCCTCCATAGAGACGCTCCTGGCCTGAGAAGGCCGAATGACCCTGCCCGTATCTCCGGGTGGAATGGCAATGTCTCCAAGAAGTCTGCAGTCTAAGGTTAGAAGGAATTTCCATTGATCTGCCTGGTGGTGGCCATTATCAGCATCCCCTGATGCTCATCTGAGGAAGCATCCAGGGGTCACCCACCCTCAGACCTGCAGGGGTCCACACAGTGCCCCCCTTACAAGCTGCTGTGACGGAGCTGTCATCTCCTTCCGACACTGTCGTTCTGATCCTCTTATCTCTTTGCTGTTTGGATGGACACCTGGAAGGAACCATGACGATTCTTTAGTCACCCAGCTGAAATCGCTGGTTGGTTAATCTCTGCCTTCCTCGTTTGACCTCTCCAGCAGCAGCAGAGAAGAGCTGGAAGCCTGCTTCCCCCAAGGCCCAGAATGTTGATCATAATATGAGGAACATTATGGGATGGCTCTGAAGGCACAGATGTTCCCACACACCCCGCTTTACACATGTTCTGATGGCCCCATCCCCCGCCCACCCCAGTTGCTGTGGTTTGCTCAGACCATGAAGTCAGGGTCTCCAGGTGCTGAAGATGCTTCCTCTACTGACCTTGAGCTTATCACTTAGAAGAGGCTTCTACACAGCGTTCTCTCCAAAGCTGTAAGGATATGACCTTGGAAACGAAAGGATGTAAGTGCTTTTAGAGGCTTGAGCCAGCCAGACTGTGGACTAGTCAGAGTCTAGAGCCAGAGCTCTTGGCTGGAAGACCCACCAAGGGCTTACTTGGAAAGGGTGTTTCTTTCAGATGCCTACCTCACTGAGCCACACCTTCTCTCAGCAATCCTGGGATATCTGCCTACCCAGAGAGGCTTCTCTTGATTCACCAACTTTTCACAGGCTTGAATGGAAAATGCTATTCAGATTGCCTGTGCTTAAGACCTAGCCAGAGTAAAATGGAAAACCTGGACCAGCCCTAGCTAGGAATAACGATGCTAGGAGCCGTGGTGGCACACACCTGCAATCCAGCACCTTGGGGGATGGCAGACAGATCTCTGTGAGTAAAGGCCTCCATCATGAGACCCCTTTAAGAAAACAAACCAACACCACAGTTTTCAGAGCTCTGAGAAAGGGTGATGGAATGCCAGTAGCCAGCCATGTGCCATGCAAGAGTAAGAGGCGTAGAGAATTTGGGAGCCAGAAGAACAGTATGGTTTTCTGCGTACCCATGGCAGAGGCTGGGTCCCTAGCACACCCAAAGCTACTAACCCTGTATTTCTGTTACTATAATGAAAGACTGGCTCTTTCATAGAGAAGATGGATGTATTTAACCTACAGCTTAAAAAAACAACTTAAAAGTCCATGGTTAGGTGCCCTCCGGTGAAGACGTCATCACAGCGTGGCAGGTGGCACAGTCTTTGCAGACTGATTATAAGAGGGGAAGGCCACTTGGTGAGACAGCAAGCCAGAGCGTGACTGAGGAGGAATGACTTCCCACCAGGCCCCACCTCTCAAAGGACCACTCCTTCCTGATGTTCCACACCAGGGACCGTGCTGAAATCCTGATGCTGGGAGTACACATTTCAACCCAACCAAACCACCGCAAAGCCTCCCTCCCTCCACCATGTAGGCTTCGCTCCTTGCTCTGAATAAGCCAGCCCCGTTCAGAATCCAGTCTCCTCAGCTTATCGTGGTGTCCTAGGAAGGAAAGTCCATAAATCAAGTTTGATCAGGGAGACATAAACAGCATGGCAGGACCAATGTGCCTCTGCCCATCAGGCTGCAGACCTGCCAACCATCCTCGCTGTGCAGCCCGCTGTGCTTTCCCTTCCCTGAAGCCTAGAGCTAAGCCATGCTACAAGACCCAATTTCCTCATCTGTAAAGGGACAGTAGTGACACTAGCCTTACAGGGCTGTTAGTAAGGTAGCGAATGTTCTTAACCGGAAGCTTCCTTTAGGACGTGGAGAGAGAGAGAGAGAGAGAGAGAGAGAGAGAGAGAGAGAGAAAGAGAGACGCTCACTGTTTCAGCAAGACAGGCTGGCAAGTGACATTGTAGGGTCCAACGGTCTGCCTCCAACATAGGCTTGTGGGGGCCATGCGTGTTTTATAACATGAGTGCTGGGAACTTGAACTCAGGCCATCTTGTTTTCACAGCAAGCACTCTTAGCCACTGAGTCATCCGCCTAGTCCCTGGGTAGCTCACTCTTCCAGACACCATGCCTTGCTTGTAGTTAACACCTAATAAACATATGTATTAATGAATGAGTGAATGAATGAGGTGCACTATTCTTGTCTCTGACTTTACACTTCACTTTCCTGCCCAGAATTCCCTTCTATTTTTTTTCTTGCCTGACTGGCTTTTGTGTGACTGTTGTTGTAAATGAAATGGTGCTGGGCTATTTGCCCTATAATTGTTATGATGGTTTTATTTAGCTCACTATCACAATCAATAAAACACAGACACCTATTAGATTTTATAATTGCCTTGTTTACTTTGGGGTGGCCAGAATAACCTCCCATCCACCTCCCAGCCTTAGTCATTCCTATCTGGGCTACCTTCCATCCATAATCTTATAAATACTTGCTTATGTTTTTCATCTTGGTCTTTCTTTTTATGCTATCCTTGGAGTTATAGCTCCCAGCCCACATAGTTCCTGCTTCATGCTAACCCATTGTGGTGTCCTCATCCTCCTTCCTTCCTCTCTTCCTGTCCATTTTTCTCTTTTCCATGATTCTCCTGCTTTCAAAGCCCAGGAACCTTAGCCCCACCTACCCCATTCTGCTCTGCCCAGGTTTTAGGCCTTTTAATCAACCAGGTATAAATCTTAGGCAGGTTTACACAGCAAGGATAGGTGTATCCAGGCAGTAACCAGATCTTGAGGGCCAGTAATTAGCAGCAAAATACAAGCATCAGGGGGAGGGGCATGCATGAGGAAGGGGGAGGGAGGGGGAGGTTGGGAGGGGAAGAGGGGGGCTGAGGGAGGGGCTTATGGGGGAATACAAAATGAATGAAGTGTAATTAATAGTAAAAAAATTTTTAAAAATTTAAAAAAAAAATACAAGCATCAGATCCACTCCCAACATGTGAACTTTAAAACTCCAGTCTGGTATTTTTTCTACCTCACAACCTTCCCTGTTGCCCTGTCCCTAACCTGAGTGTTCCTTCTCTGTGTCCCACTAAAACTCTCATTTACCTTCACGGTTGTAGCTGTCACCTTGAGTACCGTGACCTTTGGCCTTTGTAATGGTGGAGACTCCTCATGCTGAGAAGCACTTAACTAAATGAGTGCTTTCATCATATGGTAATTAGGCAAAAATTATTGATATGCTGCCCCAGTGAGCACTCACGGTCCCCCATGCTACAAGACCCAATTTCCTCGTCTGTAAAGGGACAGTAGTGACACTAGCCTTACAGGGCTGTTAGTAAGGGTTTTGTATGTTTTGTTTTTGTTTTTCTCTGCCAGACACAGTTTCTCTGTGTAGCGTTGGCTTCTTGGAACTTGCTCTGTAGACCAGGCAAGGCTGGCTGGCTGGTGGGCCCCAGAGATCCGCCTGCCTTTGCTGGGATTAGAGGCATGAGCTACCACTGCCCGGCTGTATGGATTATTTTTCATCATCACAAAAAAAAATCTAACACGTAGGGACAGTTCTAATTACTGCTACTCACTGATTGTACAGCTTCAAAATCTTGGGTTATGTGACATAACCGGATCCAGATCAGAGCTAAGACCTGAGCCAGAATCAGAGCTGCTGGCTGCTGTTTTTCCCAAGCAAGGCTTCACCTTGTAGCCCATGCTGGCATTGGACTTTTGGTCTTTCCGCCTCCTGCTGCTGTGATTACAGACATGCACCACTCTTCCCAGCTCTAGACTAGCTTTTCATTCAAGCAAGAGTTTGATATGTACAGCGTCTTTTTCTAGGCAGTTGGATCTTGACTTAGACCAACTAAATGCAGGAAACTGTCATCTGCGCTTATTTTAATTTTTCTCATTTTGAAACAGGATGTTATGTTATACAGGTTAACTTTAAATTCGCTCTGTGGTACAGGCTGGGGTTGAACTCCTGAATCTCCTACCTCTGGCTCCTGAATGCCAGTTGGGGGAGGAGAGAAGAGAGAGAGAAAGAGAGAGAGAGAGAGAGAGAGAGAGAGAGAGAGAAACTGTACCTAACCAAAGTTCTGGCTTTTTCCAGGTTCTGACAAGTGGACGTCTCTAGAAAGAAAACTGTTTAATAAAGCACTGGCCACTTACAGCAAAGACTTTATTTTTGTACAGAAGATGGTAAGCCAGTTTTCCCACTGCTCATTTGAAAGTAACTTTAAGATTCTAGACTTTTATAATATCCCCACAAAAGGGCTATTTTCCACCATTGTGGAGAAGGATGGTGGTCATTACAGGGGCAGCATGGTGCCAGTGTTGGTGTGACTGAATAACCTTGGATATTATTCCACAGATCCTGCCCCCCTTTCTCTTCTCAGTGATCTATTTTTATTTTATGTGTATGAATGTTTGCCTACATGTCAGGAAGAAGGTATCAGATCTCCTGGAACTAGAGTTACAGATGGTTGTGGACCACCATGTAGGTGCTGGGCACTGAACCTTGATTCTCTAGAAGAGCAGCCAGTGTTCTTAACCACTAAGCCATCTCTCCAGCCCCCACCGTCCACTTTTTTGACTTTTTTGTTTGAGACAGACTCTTGATTGCCTTGGAGCTCACTGAGCAGGCTAGGCTGGCTGGCCGGTAGCCCCAGGGAAGCCCTGTCTCCTCCTCCCAGTGCTAAGCTTACCAGTGTGGTCCACTGTGCTTGTCTCTCCTACCGTGGGCTCTTGGGATAGAACATGGGGCCTCCTGCTTACAACGAAAGCCCTTTACCAGCTGGGCTTCTTCCTCAGCCCCCGGGCTTCTGTTTTAATGGTGATGTGTAGAATGCACAGTCATTTCAGAACAAGTAGAACTGGGGCTGAGTCCCAACCTCCGTAGCTTAGAACATGTTTAGGCAAGTGATGGTGTGTCTGACAGCATCTTCTGACTTTGTAGAGGGAGGAGAGGCATGTGGTCTTCCCTTACCTAGTGTCAGGATTTCCAGAGTTAAACCCATTAATCTTGACAGCAATGATAAAAATACTATCTAGCAGGCATGGCGGCACACACCTTTAATCTGAAGGCAGAGGTACGTAGATCTCTGTTGCATTCAAGGCTAGCCTGGTCTACATGCCAAGCTCCAAGTCAGCTTAGGCTACACAGTGAGAAAGTGTCTCAAAAACAACAACCCGTGGGGGTGGGGCGAAATCTATCTAGCATTTTGCAGAAAATAGATAACAGAAAGATGGATGGTTGGTTTGGTGGATGGATGGATGGATGGATGGATGGATGGATGGATGGATGGATGAGTGGGTGAATGGTTGGGTGTGTGGATGGGTGGGTGGATGGACATACAGCCATCCTCTCAGGGTTGGAATACAGTTCAGTGACAGAGTGCCTGCCTAGCATGCATGAGGCCCTAGATCCAAAAGGAAAAAAAGAGATAAGATGCCCATAATAGCGAACAAATGTCATAGGCTTTAATTGGCTGAGAGTGGTCTAGACATAAAATTCAGAATGTTTCAAGGTATTTCAACAACTTTATAATAAAAAACAAAAAACTTATCATTTGATGCCTGAATGTCCAAGAAGTAGCTCCATTGGTTTAGCCTCTGCTGAGAACTTAATGGCAGATGATAGATGGAAGGAAAATGTTTTCCTGAGACAGGGAACCAGAGCCATGGAAGGTCTGCTCATCCTTGGGACAGCTGCTCTTTGAAGAACTCTTCAAAGTTTTTTAAAACTTTTGTTTACGTTTCTTTTATCTCTTTCTTCCTACTCCACTCCAATCCCTTCCAACACCAGGTAGAAGAGAGAAAGGGTTAGTGGGAGAGGGGCGCAGCTCTCTTAGCTGCTTCCTGCTGGTTAGGGTGATCAGGTTCCTTGGGGCCAGTACAATCCTCATTTCAGGAGATCTCCAACTTCTTGTCTCACAACAGCAACCAGGAGCAGCAAAGGGGAAGCAGGACAGCCTTGTTCTTTCTCGCCACTCCCTCACTCTCTGGGCTCTGGCATTTATTCCCTCTCCAGAGTCCTCAGAGTTACACTGTCTGCAGCTGGCAAAGAGCTCGTCTCAGAGCCCGCATGAGGCAAAAATAACCTGCTGCTGTGGACCATCTGAATCAGTCCCAGATCCCACATAAACAAAAACATGTTTATATCCACAACAAAGTCCCTTAGTGCTGGGGAGATGGCTCTGAGGGAAAGAGTGCCTAGAGTGCAAGGACTGAGCTCCAGGTTCATTGAGAGGCCATGTCTTAAAGAAATGAGGTTGGGAGCGATAGAGCAGGACCCCTCTGCCGTGGACACGCACACGTGCACGCTGTCATTCCCTCCTTCTCAGAGGTCTCACAGACCCTGGGGACCAGGCTCCCAGCTCACAAGCCCTCTGTGGACAAGCCACACTAAAACCGTAGCACTCTGCAAAGTGCCAAGGCCCTGCCCTCGGGTTCCATGGCCGGTTGTGTGCGGTGTGCACAAGCCAGTACAGCATTAAGAAAGGGCTCCCTGGGACAGTATCTCCCACCTCAGGGCTGATTCCAGGGTAGTGATTCCAAGTGGCAGGTGGATGTTGAAGAGGGTAACTGACTCTTGGTGGAACCTCTATCTCATCGTGTAGGTGGCTGTATCCCCATCCTTTCATCCCCATACCTGGGTGACTGAACCCCCACCAGAGCATGGAGTTCTAGGAGCTAAGCAAAGGAATGCCGAATTCCAAAATACATATTCAGATTGAACATCCTTAATCTGAAGACCTAGGACCTGGAATGCTCTGAGGGTTTAGAGCTGCTAATATTTTCAAGTGAGAGACTGTAGTCAGGAAAGCTTGTGCAGTTTCGAAGTCCAAACCTGACACTTGTGGCCCCACTTGTGTGTCGGGGGGGGGGAGGTTAGTTACGGTATTTATGGGGGAGTTGAGGCCAGAGGACAATTTATAGGACTGGGTTTTCTCCTTCTACCGTGCGGATCCCACGGATCAAACTCAAGCTTGGCAGCATGTACTTTTACCCACTGAACCAAGTCATGTATCCCAGGCTGGCCCACTTCTCAGTATGTGACAAGGATGATTTCTGATCCTCTTGCCTGTACCTCCTCGGGCATATCCCGTCACACCTGGCCTGAAGCATCTTGGGTAGGAGATGCCTTTGCCTCTGGGGCATCACGGAGCAGAGCTGGTCCCCTGCATTAGGGAAGCCTTGGATCTACAATGCTTGGTCTGGTGCTCAGGACTTCTTCATAGACTGGTTTGGGTTGGGTTTGAGACAGGGTCTCATGTGGCCCAGGCTAGCCTGAACTTCGCCTTCTGCTCCTCCCCTCCCCCCACTTCCCAAGTGCCAGGATCCCAGGTGTGCACCACACCTGCATTATAAATAGGTTCTGTGAGTCAGCAGGACAAAGAGCTGAGCACTGCAGCACTTAACATGGAAAAGCATCTGTTTTGCAGAGAAAGAAAAAGAAAAAAACTGCCGCCTGGTGTACAGATCTCCAACCTGGCTAGAGGTTGTCATGGCACAAGCCGTGTTTATAACATGCTTGCTGCCTCTCATGAGGAAAATGGCAGAGAGACAGATGCATGTCTGTGCTCGTTGATGCCTGCATACAGACTTTCTGGAATGAGACCGGAGATAAATGAATAGTGGGGGCCTGTGAGATGGCTCAGAAGGTAAAGGAGCTTGCTGCCAAGCCCAGCAATTTAAATTCAATCCCCAGGACCCACATGGTGAAAGGGGAGAACTGACTCCAAGTGGTGCTCTGACCCCCACACATGTGTGCAAGCATGCAGAAATAAAGGTTACAGTTTTTGGTGTATAGCCCTGGCTGTCCTGGAACTCACTCTGTAGACTAGGTGGCCTTGAACTCACAGAGATCTGCCTCCAGAGTGCTGAGATTAAAGGTGTGTACCACCACCGACTGGATACGATTTTTTTTTTTTTTAATTTTTTTAAGAACTGATTAGGAGAACCTGCTTGTGTTACAGCTGTCCAAGGTAAAAGCAGCAAGCATGGAAAGGCTATCCTCCTGTCTGGGTTTTGCCTTGTCTTTGTTTTCTGAGAGTCTTCTCAGGTAGCCCTGGCTGTTCTGGAGCTGCCTGTGTAGACCAGCTTAGCCTTGAACTCTCAAAGCTCTGTCTATCGAAGAACTCAGTGTTCCGAAGTTTGCCTACCATCCAGTACTGGAGCTAACCGCTCACTGGGGCTGCACTTTCTCGGCAGGTAAAGTCCAAGACAGTGGCTCAGTGCGTGGAGTACTACTACACCTGGAAGAAGATAATGCGGCTAGGGCGGAAGCACCGGACACGCCTGGCGGAAATCATTGATGACTGCATGGTGAGCGATGATACTCAGTTGGCTCCTCTGCCCCTGCCCTCACTCCACTCTCGGGCTAGTGCCTGGCTAGTGTGTCATGGCGTTATCAGATAGGAAAAGCGACAGAGTTCCCTGTGCACTAATGAAGCTTAGGACTTGAGTCCCTGGTGTAGGCCGAGGGAAGGTGTTCCCTGGGTCAGATGTAAGCTTCCTTCAGTAAAAGATGGAATTGCTCTGTGTTTCTAGGCAGGCAGGAGCCGGAGTGAAACCAGGGCGGTCCCACTGTTGACTTGGTTGACTTTTAGGAAGGTGATCTCAGCCCCTCTAATGTTCTTCCCTAAACCTTCCCTGTCACAGGCGTCATTGGCCTGAGAATATGACACATGGGAGTCTCTGTGACCACGGCAGCCAACAGAGTAACAGTCCACAGCAGGCTAGTAGGTAGTACAGTTCAACACTGCTCAGCAGCCAGTGCTGGTTTAAATGTCAGGAGTCTGATCGAAGTAGTTTCGTTTTTGTTTTGTTCTGTTTTTTAGGGATATTTAAGCACGGCACACTTTGGTGTAGTTTTTCCCGGTGATAATTAACTCACTTCTGTGTGCCCCATAGAGCCTAAGACGTGACTACACAGAAACTCTTTGTAAGGTGCATGTAACATCTTCCGTAAATATGGAGTCTGTAGACTGGCAAGCTCATGATCAGGATCTGCGGGAGGGTCTGGTGTGGTCTTTGCCACATGGACAGACAGCACAGAGGTCACCCGGCTATGGTGGAAAAACGGGTTATACATCCCTCCCTCTGAAAACACAACCCCAGAGCCAGGTGGCAGCGGCGCACACCTTCAGGGCCATCATTTGGGAGGCAGAGGCAATCAGATCTCTGTGAGTTCAAGGCCAGCCTGGTCTACAAAGGGAGTCCAGGACAGACAGAGCTACACAGAGAAACCCTGTCTCAAAAAACCAACAAGAAAAAAAAGAAGAGAGACAACTCTGCATGTTTGCCATTCCTGGTTCCCCTAGCGCTTATCTGCACACAAGGACCAGCATACCTCCCACAGTCCTGCACTTCAGAGAGATGAGGGAGTTCTGGGGTTGTGTGGGGTTCTCTCTAAAGCGTGAACAAGAGGCACTCTGACCTGCAGGTAGAACCAGGGAGTCAGTCATTGAGAAGCTGCTCAGCGAGTGTGGATGATTCCAATCCTGGCGTCACCATCCATAACTGGCACTGATCTTCTTCATTAGCAGACAATCCAGAGTTATCTTCATATTCTAAACCTAACACCTATGGTGGAAGCTGAAAGGTAGAGTGCCTCGCTGGCAGACACAAAGCTCTGGGTTTGAGCCCTGGCACTGCGTAAAACTGGATGGTAGCACTGACTCATCATCTCTGCTCTCAGAAGGTGGTGACAAGGAAGAGGAGAAGGTCTAGGTCATTTTGGGTTACATAATTCATGACTAGCCTGGGCTTTATGAGAATCTATAGCAATTAATTAATTAACAAATTGCAATAAGATATAAAAGTAAAGAGAACCTATAGCAATAAATAAACTACAATAAGATGGAAAAGTAAAGACCTGGGCCTACAGAGATGGCTTGGTGTTTGGAGTGCATCCTGCTCTTACAGAGGACCTGACTTTGCTTTCTAATACCCAAATGAGTGGCTCACACCTGCAGCTCCAGCTCCAGGGAAGGGATCAGTGACCTCTCCAGACTCCTGCAACACCTGCTTTCACGTGTACACACATTACCATTCAGGCACACACATATACACAACAAAGTCAATATTGTCCAGCGAGGCATGGTGGCGCACACCTTTAATCCTAGCACTCAGGAGGCAGAGGCAGGTGGAGCTATGAGTTCAAGCCAGTCTGGTCTATAGATGGAGTTCCAGGACAGCGAGGGCTACACAGAGAAACCCTGTCTCAGAAAAATCCAAAATAACTAAATAAGTAAGTAAATAAATCTTTAAAAACTGAAAATGTAAAAGAAATAAAAATGGTACCAGTGCAGCCTACTGTGGCTCTGTCCACTGAAAGCAATTAATTCCCACAATATAAACATCAGTACATGGGCTGGAAAGACTGTTCAGTGTCTGAGAGCACCAGCTGCTCTTGCAGAGGGCCTGGGGCTGGTTCCCGAAACCCCTGAGGTGGCTCACGGCTGTCTGCCTCTCCAGGCTCAGCTGATTTAGCGCCCTCTTCTGGCCTCCTCAAGCAACAGGCACAAGCATGGTACACATACATACATACAGGCAAAACACTCATGCATAAAACATTTTTATAGCAGGTTTTGTTTTTTTGTTTTTGTTTTTTTTAAGCAGGCGTTTATTGGGGGTGAGAAAACACACAGCAGACACATAAAGAAAGATCCTCGGCAAAGCAGAGGGGAACTCAGAAAGCCAAAAAACCTCCTAATTATTTTGTCTTAATGTTTAAACAGCAGTATATATTCACATCAACAGTCAAGACGATATATGGGGTCCGCCTTCTCTGTCCCCACCACTCACAGGAGACATTCTGGTTGGGATGATGTCGCACATACAATGAAAACTTGACTGAGAAGTCCAAGAGTATTTGAAAACAAATACTTGTGTAAGACAAGAACCAGAAAGTCTTGGATATAAAAAAAGGGTACTTAGTTTCACAGGCTGCAGCTCAGGTGGGAGGCTTGCCCAGGGTCACCGAGCCATGCTGGACACATGAGTAAAATGGAATGTAAGCAAGGAACCACAGGAAATGCTGTCCTTAGGCCTGGGACCTCACTCCCTGCTGAACTGTAACGTAGGACGGATGATTTCGTCAATTGGGAAAGTCCCTTTCGGGCCTGCAGTGTTCTGGACCATGTCATTGCTGTGTTGGGGAAAGACAAAAATCAGATATCCGGGACTAGGGAAATGGCTAGGGGGTTAAAGTGCTTGCCCTGAGAGTGTGAGGACCAGTGTTTGGATGCGCAGAATCCATGTGTCATGTGAGCATAGCTGTGTAACCGTAACTTTAGTGCTTAGAAGGCTCAGGGATCCCGGAGCAAGCTGGCTAACCAAACTAGCTACATCGCTGAGCTCTGATCAGTTGAGAACCCTGCCCCAGTGAACAAGTAGAGAGTGACAGAGGAAGACTCCTCAGGCCTCCACCCCCCATGCACACACACGCACATGAGGGGAGGCCGGATGAGATGGTCTGCTAAGAGAGTCTCTGCTCAGGTTCTGGTGTAACAAGGCCTAGGGACAGTGCCCAGGGGAAGACTGTTATGACACTAGGTAAATATTTGTCCAGTGAACAGACATTCTTCTGAGACAGGGGTTACTGGTTCACGGTAGCAATCCCTCTGTGAACTCTGGAGGGAGACGCAATGAGCTGAGCAATACGGAACAGAGAAATGTTCGGGAGGCTTTACCGTACAAGGCAGAAGCTCCATCTTGGCCAGTTAATGGGGGGAAAGGCCAGGCCAGAATGCAGCCTCAGATGAGGAAGAAAAGCAGAGAAGGCCACACCTGCTGGTTCACTGACAACGAGCCAGCATTAGGGTGGGTTCCCAGCCTCCACACCCTTGTCCCTTGTATGTTCAGGAAAGGCAAAAGGCTTACATGCAAGATGAGTCAGGCCCATTAAAACAGTCTTTGTTTAAGACCCAAGTCAAAGCCCCAGCCTCCTCTTGGGTTCTGTGAGTACATTCCGAGCCAAATAGAAGTAGAAACCGGGGAGGCCCGGGAAGGGTGCAGCCCTCGCACGTGGGCCTGGTCCTTAGTCTTCTATTAAAGGGCAGACAGGGGCCAGCAAGATGGCTCAGCAGGTAAAGGAGCTTGCTGCCAAGCCTGCCGATCGCCGGGGCCACAAGATGGAAGGAGGGAACCCTCCTAAAAGCTGTCCTCTGACCTCCACATGTGGGCCTTGGCACACGCACACACAAATGCACACATGTGCATGCACACATACATGCACATACACACACGTTCGCACACACATACAAATGAATGAATGAATGAATGAATGAATGAATGAATGAATGAATGAATGAATGAATGAAGGACTGAATGTAATTTTTAAAAAGAAGTGAACACTTTTCCAGGAGGAAGTACAGGGGTACACTGAGGGAGCTGTAAGGAACACCTCTGCAGGTGGCCAGGGCTGGTGAAGCACTTTCTCGTGCTTTGCCAGATGGCGTGGGCTCCAGCATGGGCCGTCACTAGCCCCCATTTTCTTGGAGGCAGCAGGAGGAAAGCGTGCCACCCCCCTGGTGTTTTGAGTCTGGGTGTCCCTGGGACCCCAAGCTAACTAGTGAGGCTCTGCTGGCTGTCACGTGATCCCCAGGGATCCGCCTGCAGCGGCCTTCACAGCTCTGGGATTACAGGCTTATGCCACCAAGCTAAGCTCTTTTAGTGGATTCTGGGACTTGAACTCAGGTCCTCATGTTTTGCAGCAAGCACTTTATGAACTGAGCCATCTCCTTAGCCCCTCAGTTCTGTTTCTTTGTCAGCCATATGAGCTTAGCACAAATGACTTATCTGGCAGACTTTCTGATTTAAGAAATCTGTACAGAGTTCTGGGAGAACTAGAAGTTTGGGCGGGTAAGGGGGGACCAGTAGACACCACACATTTAAGACCTTTTCCTCATTGCGGTCAGGAGCATCCCTGACACTTGGGTGCATATCTTTGGCAGGTCACTGAATGTCTGTATTCCAGTTTCCCTGTTTCTTGCAGCATGGGCGTAAACCACCGTCCTCTGCACGGAGCTCGTGGTGTGGACAGTTGAGGTTCAGGTCCTCGGGCGGCAGAGATGGCTTGGTGGTTAAGAGCACTTGCTGCTCTCCCAGAGGAGCTGGGTTTGATTCCCAGTACCCGCCTAGGGCTGCTCACAGCTGCCTGTAACTCCAGCTCCAGGGGATCTAGCGCCCTCTGCTGGCTAGCGCAGACAGGGCTTGCAAGTGGCGTAAATGCACACAAATCATATATAACTGTCTATATGTGTGCATGTATCTCTTCCTCCCTGCCCCGGGTTGGCCCCGTTCCCGTCTGAAGTTGTCCTACATGGTCCCATCTGCAGTGCATCATAAAATAGCCACATGTAGACGCAGAGTGCTGCGTGTCGAAGTTTGATTCCCCCTATCTTTGTATCTCTGACTCACTTTGTCTTGATGACGAATATGTTGTACAGAGTGAAATAAAAACCCATCAGCATTCCTGAGGTGTGCATGACCTCCGAGCAGTAGAATTCAGTCTGTAATTGTGTGGCTACATGAAATTTCTCTCCAGAGTTCTTATGCCAATAGATTGGCACCATGAGAAAAGTGTAATTATAAGCACCGTGGAACAAATGCCATTGTTGTAAAAAGTTTCATTGTGAAGTATGTCTTGTAAATGCCAAACTGGAGGCCACGTCCACTTAATTGTCAAGAATACAAAGTCCCCAGTCTTTTAAAGAGGGCGTCTACGGTATTGCCTGACACTCTAGATTTGAAAGGTGATGGGTGACAGAAAGAAGGCCATTCTGTAACATCAACCTGTGTGTTCTAGGCTAACCGGGGGTCTTTTTCTAGAAACCACTCCACAACAGGTTGCTGGGCCTGTGCAGCTCCCACGGACTGTGTGTAAGTAATTAAGATCATTCCTAGTTGGTCTTAATGAATTGGCTGGAAAATGGCCGTTTCTTACCTCACTTAACACGGCCTCTTGACTGCACATCTACACAGTGTTACCTGTGAAGGGCCCCGAAGCAGGGAGAAGTGTTAACTGCCTCGTGTTGGCTGGTGTTGTCTCTGTCGTTCTCCTGCAACCCACCCCTAAATCAAAACTGGAGAGAGGCCACTGTGATACGGTTTTGTATACTTGTAATCCCAGCATTCAGGAGGTAGAGACACAGGGTTGCCATGAGTTACGGTCAAGCTTGTAATACATAGTGAGTTTTGGGCCAATTTGGACTACAGAGTAAAGCTTTGTCTTAAGGGGGATGTGAGCAGGAGAGGCTGGAGAGATGACTTAGTGGTTAAGAGCATTTTCTGCTCCTCCAGAGGACCTGAGTACAATTCCCAGCACCTATATTGGGTGGCTCCCAACAGCCTGTAACTCCAGCCCCAGGGGATCTGATGCCTCTGGCTTCTGAGGGTACGCACTTACACATACCCACACGCAAAGACATCTACACAATTTAAAAATGAAAGTAAGAAGCTGGACGTGGTGGCACACACTTGTAATCCCAGCCGAGGGAGGCAGATCTCTGTGAGTTTGAGGCTATCCTGATCTACCAGGATAGTCCGGGACAGCCAAGGCTACACAGAGAAACCTGTCTCAAAAAAGAGAGAAAGAAAGGGAGGGAGGGAGAGAGAGAGAAAGAGAGGAAAAGCCAGGTTTATCACACACCTGTAATTCCTGAACTTGGGAGGCAGAGGAAGGTGAATATCTGATTTCAAGGCCAGCCTGGCCTACATAGTGAGTTCTAGGCTAGCCAGGGTTATATAGTGATGACACTTGGTCTTAAAAAATAAAAATACGGGCTGGAGAGATGGCTCAGAGGTAAAGAGCACTGGCTGCTCTTCCAGAGGTCCTGAGTTCAATTCCCAGCAACCACATGGTGGCTCACAACCATCTATAGAGAGATCTGGTGCCCTCTTCTGCTGTATAGGTGAACATGCAGACAGAACATTGTATAAATGATAAATAAATCTTAGGGGGGATAAAGGTGTGCAAAAATTAAATAAATAAATAAAAATAAAATAACACTGCAGAGAGGAAACCTGTGGATCTAGATTCAGGGCACCACTATTGTCAGAAAGTCTTTATTTTTCTTGGAAATTCCCACTTCTGGATTCTGAGAATCAAAGACTTTTCCTAGAACTGCATGACTTGGGATGAGCAAACTGGAACTTGCCTGCTATAAGCAGGGCATGTATGGGAAGGGCCTGGCGGAGATAAAAGGCCTGCCAGGGGAAGATAGCTGGACGTACCTTCTCTTTCCTCATTTGTGAAATGGGATGACTGTTTACAGGCTATTCGGTGTCATAATAAGTATGCAAGCCTCTTGTGAGTAGTTTTTAAAAAGTCTATCTAAAATGAAAATGCTGTATTAGAGAACTCCTGTTTCCTGGTCCTCAGCCACTTCTAGGCATGCGGGAACCCGCCACCCTTCCTCTACCCTGGGAAGGCAGCAGAGTCAAGTAGTTGAGAGTTTCTTAAACTCCTGTGTTTATCCAAGCATAGTGATGCATGTCTGTAATCCATCACCTAAGATGCTGAGACAGGAGGATTGTGACTCCGGAGCAGTCTTGGCTGCAAAGTGAGACCTAACCTGGGAAGCAGGAAGGAAAAGCAAGAAAGCAAGCTGGGTGTGGTGTTGGGCTGTGCTTGGAAGTCCAGCACTGGAGAGAGGAAGAGTGGGAAGATCGGAAATCAAGGGAAGCCTTGGCTACAACGCAAATTCAGGGTCAGCCTGAGCTATAGGAGACCCTTTCTAAAAAGGAAAAAAACAAAAAACCCACACACGAACAAACAAGAAGATTGGAGAGGTGGCTCATCAGTTATGAGCACTTACTGCTCTTACAGAAGACCTGGGTTTGGTACCCAGAACCCACATTAAGCAGCTCACAGCTATCTGTAACTCCAGCTCTGGGGAATCGGATGCCCTCTGGGCTACTTGGGCACTGACACATAAACTCACCAGGTCAAACACATATTCATAATATAAATTAATAAATCTCTAAAGCCAAATTAGTTCCTGAATTCTTTCCCAGCCCACCCTACTCAGTAACTTGCTATTTTAAGTTCTATTTTTATGTATGTGAGGGTTTTGTCTTGTATGTATGTGAACATACATACATGCAGGCATGCCTTGTAACCATGGAGTTCAGAAGAAAACATCAGATCCTTTGGAACTGGAATGGTTGTGAGCTGCCATGTGGGTGCCGGGAACTGAATGTGGGTCCTCAGTAGGAACAGCGAGCGCTCTTAACTGCCGTGCCATCTCTCCAGACTTTATTTTATTCTTTATTTATTTCAGTTGTATGTGCATTTTATTTCTTTGTGAGTGCATGCCACATGGGTGCAGTGCCCACAGGAGCCAGAAGAGGGCATCAGATTCCCTGGAGCTAGAGTTACTGGCGATTGTGACCTACTTAGACGTGGGTCCTGGGACCTGAACTTAGGTCCTTTGAACAGGCAGCAGGTGCTCTTAACAGGTGGTCCATTGCCCCAGTCCCTTCGCCTTATTTTTTGAGGCAGCGTCTCTCATGAGACTGTGTCTGACCTTCTTGGCTAGACTGGCTGGCAGCAACCTGAGGGATGCTGTCGTTTCTGCCTGCCAGCACTGAGGCACCCTGCACACAGCTGGCTTGTATCTAGGGCCTGAGGCTCAGGTCCTCATGCTTGTGTAGTAAGTGATTTACCCTCTGTGCTGTCACCTCCTACCCTACAGGGGATCGTCACACCTTTCCCCTCTTCCTTAGCATGTTATTTTGTTTTGTTTTGTTTTTCTGTAAGAGATCATGGAAGGACCCAAAGTGCAGTGGGAGAAATTCGTGACCTCAAGATCCCAAGTATCCAGAGAGCAGTCCCGAAGACTCTGTCACCTACCATGGTGACACAGCCCCAGTGACCCATGACCTCCTGGCTTGTGATTTCTGTCCATTACTAAAAAAAAAATATCTTTTGGAGATATCTTACCCTCTTGCCTTTATTAATAACAGACCAGTGAAGAGGAAGAAGAGGCCGAGGAAGAGGAAGAGGACCCAGAGGAAGATAGGAAATCCATAAAAGAGGAGGAGACTGAAGTGCCCAAGTCGCCAGAGCCACCGCCCGCCCCTGCCCTGGCTCCCACTGAGGGCCCACCCATGCAGGCCGCTGGCCAAGCATCAGGCTCCTTCATCTGTGAAATGCCCAACTGTGGGGCTGTAAGTGTCTGTGTTGTCTGGGAGACGTGGGGGTCATGCAGCTGTGCCTAGTTCTAAGAGCGATGGACGTCTGGCAGAGGTCACGCCATGTTGCCACCACTTTCTTACACACTTGGCCAAGGGAGAGTTACTGAGTGTGCTCTCTGCCAAGCATAATGCTGCATGCTGGGGAATTTAGAAAGGGCCCCTAAAGCCAAGTGTGGTGGCACAGGCTTGTCATCCCAGCACTCTGGAGGCTGTGGCAGGGGAATTGAGATGTTGAGGCTAGTCTTCTGGAGGTGACTCCAGGCAAAGAGAGAGGGAGAGAGAGGCTCCTCCCTTCAGGTACTGTGTGATTGACAGCTCTACAGGAGAGCACGGAAAGTACACGTGTTTACTATGCTGTTTCCTGGTACTCGGCAGGCCCTTGGCCTGTATGTCACCAAAGGTCAGATTGTACCTTGTCAACACGCATTTAAATTTACTGAAAGAGCCCACCAGGGCTTCTCTTTTTTAACACAGTGTCGTGTCTGAACTGCCTCCCGTTTTATTTCTCTGGAAGGTTTAGCTTTTCATATTCCATAAAGTGTTACTAATTCTAATCCAAATATCACATTAGTGACATTGGAGAAAGTTGTTTCCAAACAACTAAAGTTTGTCTTTGCAGTCTGAGGGGACAGAAATTCACTAAGCAAATTAATGGTATGAACAGGCTAAAGAGTCTGGGGGACCTCTCGATCTCCCCACTGAGCACAGAGGAGCCTGACGGGATGCGGGCTGGTGTTGTCTAAGGCTCCCCATCCTAGAACCTATGGACTCTGGCTAGTCTGCCTAACCCAACTAGTCTGAATTGCTGAGATTTTTTCCCAAATCAGGTTTCTTAAAGCCTGACACACTTACATAGACAGTTCTGGAGGTGTTATCCTCTTCCCAGAAACACCACTGTCTTCTTTGCTTGTCTAATGCAGAATATATTGAATGCTGGTATTGAGTCTGCCATTTAAAGAAAGACTTTAAAATGTTTATGTCCTGGGATGGACAGGTGGTGCTCGCCTAGCGTCCCAGCACTCCAGAGGCAGAAGCAGGTTTCTCTGGTTCAAGGCCAGCCAGAACTACATACTGAGACCCTGTCTCAAAATAAATAAGTAAAAATGTTCATATACTAACACAGAAACTCATTTGATTTTTATTTAAGAAAAATGAAAAGGCTTAAAAAAATAAATATGATTGAGCCAGCTGGTGGTAACTCATATCTCTTTAATTCACTTGGGAGGCAGAGGCAGACGGATCGCTGAGTTCAAGGCCAGCCTGGTCTACAGAATGAGTTCCAGGACAGCCAGGGCTCTGTTACACAGAGAAACCCTAAATAAGTGTATGCATCTTCCATCGCTTTAGAGAACATGAGACGCGCCGGCATGTTGACCCCCTAATGGCCTGGCCTCTGCACTCCATCACTACCATCTTGCCCAAATCACTTTAGTTCTGAGTTGATTAAGATATGACTGCAAATGACAATGTTTCTTGGTGAATTTGTTCAGAAATTGTGCGCTTTTTTAAATTCATGGTTTTAGGGTGCGATGGTTTTTAGTTTGGGGGCGGGAAAAGTGGAGGAAGGAAGCTTCTTTTACTTTGCCCAATCAGACATGCTCAGCAAGATAGACATTCTTGTTGCCTGTTTAAAAACCCAGTCAAGGAAAAGGTGATAGTTTATTCCATGCCTAGCAACGGAGGCTGTCTGATTCAGTAAATCAGACATAGATTTGTTTTTAGGTAATACAATAAAAGGGACCCGTGAGCTGAACAAAGAGAGGCCACCCAAACCCAGCGAGGTGGAATAAAGGACGGTTGGTTTGGGGGACTGTGGGTTATAGCCCCATACTCAGTGACTCTGGACAGAGGATAATTTGGCCCTGCAGGAACATTTTCGCTAAGCCTGGGGATGTGGGACTGGCATCTGGTGGGTGGAGGCACAGATGCTATTGTATACCTTCTGTGCGCAGGCCAGTCCTCAACTGTCCAGCCCCAAGAACCCGTAATGCTGAGGCCAAGAAGCCCTGCTCTGTGTCAATACTTGAAAAACTAGCCAGGCATTATGTATGGCAGACACCTGCACTCCCAGCAGGAGAATAAGGAAGTTGGTTACATAGTGAAGTCAAGGCCAGCCTGGACCATGGTTAAGCCTTTTTTTTTTTTTGGATAAAACTCTTAACAAAGTTGTTGCTCTGCCTATTCCTGGCCAGGCACAGTGACACACACTCGTAATTCTAGCACTCAGGAGACAGTGGTGGAAGGATTGCCTCATGTTTAAAACCAATCTGATCCACATAGTGAGTTCCAGGCGAGCCCAGCCTACAGAGCAACACCCTGTCCCCAAGACTGTCAAAGTTTGGGAGTCTTTTCTTTTTAAAAAAATAAACTCTCACTCTCCACTTATTTTTTGTATAAGTGCCCTGCGAGCCAGAAGAGATATCAGATCCAAGTGTAAATGGTTGTGAGCCACCGGGTGGTTGCTAGGAACTGAACTCAGGACCTCTGGAAGACTAGACAGTGCTCTTAACCACTGCCATCTCTCCAGCCCCAAGTTTTGTTTTTTTGTTTTTTGTTTTTTGTTTTTTTTTGGGGGGTGTCCTAAATGTATCTTCTGCAATGTACTTGGATTGCAGGTGTAGGTCAGAGTAGGAGCATTCACCTGACAAGCATGAGGCCCATGTTCTATGCCCAGCATCACAGAAAACAGCAAGAATTAAAACAGGCTACTGAGGGAAGCTCTAACGCCTCTCATTTTACACATGAGGTGGGGCGGGGGGGGGGGGGTTTGAAAGCCAAGTGGTTTAATGGCCTGTGTTCGGTGCAATGGAGTTAGAAGTTAGAGCTCCATGCTGGGTCTCCTGACTCTGAGACTATAGCTTTGTCCTTCGTACTGAGCCACACTGCCTTGGGCCCAGGTTAGACCAGTGAGGGAAGTTTTTCGGCACAGAGCTTGTGGTTGGGGTATCTGAGCTTTGCTCTCTGTGGCACACGCCCAGCGTTTGCTTGTATGAACCCTGTACTGTTTCATGTATCACGTGTTTTACCGCCAAGTGACTAACAAGCCTAATTTCCTTTTCAGGACTGTAGATGTCATGTCACTGCATTTCTTCCCCAGGTGTTCAGCTCCCGGCAGGCACTGAACGGCCACGCCCGCATCCATGGTGGCACCAACCAGGTGACCAAGACCCGAGGTGCTGTCCCCTCTGGGAAGCAGAAGCCAGGCGGCAACCAGAGCGGGTACTGCTCGGTAAAGAGTTCACCATCTCACAGCACCACCAGCGGAGAGACAGACCCCACCACCATCTTCCCCTGCAAGGAGTGTGGCAAGTAGGTATACTTGGAGCAGGCACCAAACCCAAGGTCAAAATGAATGATTGTTCTGTGGGGGCTATTTCTTCAACTAGGGAAAAAGAAATAAATAAGCCAACAAGCAGACTCTCAAGACTCCCCTGGATAGCATCCATGGTCTGCAGGTGGTTCTCACAACCTCCATTCATGGTTCTGCCCACAGCAGACATCACTAATCAATTACAGAATTCTCTAACATCACATTAAGGCAAGGGGCAAGGCATATCCTTTATATCATAATGATGCAAGCTGGCACATGTAGTTGATTAGAGGCCATGCATGGGATAAGGCCGATTTTTATCCCTGTCCCTTTAACCATAACTTAAAACAACAGCTAACAGTGGATGGAAACAACAACAGTTAGAATACTGGGCTTTTATTCCATCACATACTTCATGTGTGTGAGCTCAGTCCTCACAGAGAAAAACTCCTTTCAGTTCAAGCTGTCTCCATGCTTATTTTACAGATGAAGATTTAAAGTCAGGGGCTAGAGAGATGGCTAAGAGGTTAAGAGCACTGTCTGCTCTTCCAGAGGTCCTGAGTTCAATTCCCAGCAACCACATGGTGGCTCACAACCATCTATAATGAGATCTGGTGCCCTCTTCTGCCATGCAGGCAGAACGGTATATACATAATAAATAAATCTTAAAAAAAAAAAAGAGAGATTTAAAGTCAGGTCAAATGCCTTGTCCCAAGTCACAGTGCCAAGAAAGGAAAGCTGGTATTTAACCCTTGCCATGCCCAGATGAAGCACTTGGCTTCCCTATACCGCTCCAGACTTCAGCTACCTTACAGTGAGCCTATCTGGCGGTAAAATACATGGCTCCTTCGAAGTTCGCTTCTCAGTGAGTGTGCCTAACCTCAGGGCCATAGCATCATCACAGCTTGAGAGGTGGAAGGGGTCATACTGATTGTCTCTCTCTAGTCCCTAATGCCTCAGATGTGTAAGGAATGGCATCTGGAGCGATCCCTACCAGGTGGCTCCGGAACTATCAGGAAAATGTTCCTAGTTCCATAAGTGAGGCCAGTGGGGGCCCCTGCTTTCATGTTTGCATACAGTGTGTCAAGTGGGCTAGAGAGACGGGGGCACTGATTGCTCTTACAGAGGACCTGGCTTTGCTTCCGGCACCCCGATGGTAGCTAAGAACCCAGATGGTAACCAACAGCCATGGTAACTAACTCCAGTGCCTGGAGACCTAATGTCCTCTTCTGGCACCCACTGGTGCCACATACATGCAGTGCACAGAATTACCTGTAAACACCCATTCATATAAATAATAATAACCAAATATAAAGATCAATTATGATATTTTTTTAAATGTATCAGGCAACTCTATCATAGCATTCACCAATGAGTGGGTCGTCCTGCTTTTGCCTGAGACGGTTTTAAACGGATGTTTTATACTCGTTCATTCATTTCCTTTTGAGAACAGCCCTGCAGGGGCCGATGAGACAGCTCAGCAGGGTGCTGGCCACCAAGTCCAGATCTTACGTGGTGGAAGGAGAGAAAGTTGTCTCCTGACTCCCTCATGCCATGGGAGTGTACACCCGCATGCACACATACAGTTAATTAACTGAAAATATAGAGGGCCTTGCCACTCGAGTATGTTTAGAAGACAGAGACTGGGACCGAGGAAAGTCAGCCATGCCTGAAGGTGACCTGAAACCGATGAGCCTCATGCTTAGACTTCAGAACACTCAGGCTCGCCTGGCCTCCTGCACTTCAGAGCTCTGCCGCCCGTCACACACTGAGGGACGCATGGGAGAAATGAGCCCCAGACTGACCAGCAGGACTGTCACTTCCTGTAATGAAGGAAGCAGCCTGCGCTAAAGGAGGCAGGTGCCCTCTCTGTAAGATCGGGGTATTCCACTGAGCGAAGACTAAGGCCTCCTCAGGCAAAAGCTCGGCAGGATGAGGGCCCCTAATCTTAAAGTCCACAAATTTGTAAGTGGGCACTTGACCCTGCAAATGAAAAATGCCAAACCATGGAAATTTGCTTCGTTCAAAAATGCCCGAAAACCATTCGGATACAGTGGTCCACACCCGTATTTCCAGCCCCCGGGGACTGAGGAAAGGATTGCAAGTTCAAAAACAGCCTGCGCTATCTTGTGAGAGCCTGCCTCAGATATGTGGATAGATTCATGCATACCTACATGGGTGCACGGATGCCAGGTGCAGTGACACGCACTCATAGTCCCATCACTTTGGAGGCAGAAGCAGGAAGATCCAGAGTTTAAGGTAGTCCTTGGCTGTATGGCGTTGAAGGCTAAACTGAGCTACAAGAGATCTTATGTTTAAAAAAAAAAAGTATGAAAGTCCCTTGAGCTGTGTGTAAGAAGTGAGTATAAAGCATGTGGGCCTCATGCTTAGACTTGATCCCATGTGCAGGAAATCTCACTGTGTGTACAGATGTCCAACATCTGACGCATTTGGGCAAGGGGCCGCTTACCTCATATTTCATGGTTCCAGCTGCTTTTTAAAAGCATGCACTGAGGATATATTTTTTTGTCTTGCCCTTATGTGACCTGAGATCTTTTTTTCTTTTCGGCTTTATTGGTTATTAGGGTGTGTGCATGTGCGCACACGAGCGCCCACCTACATGCCAGGACACACATGAGAGAGCAGGGGGCAGCTCTGTGGAGTCAGTTCTCTCCCTCCATCTTTATATCAGTCCTGGGGCTCGAACTCAAGGTGATCAGACTGTCTCTGCAAATGCTTTTACCCATCGAGCCTCTCCCTTGCCCCTAAATATCTTTTCCTGTCGGAAATCTGAGTAAGACTTTATGAAAACCAGAATGTTTCCTGAGATTTTTTTCAGATAGGAATAACATTGAACAAGTTCAGGGACGGCCTCTTTCAGCTGTTAATTTTCAACATGTCCAGCTAGAAATCCTCAACCTGTGGAACTCAGGCAGCGGGTGGGGGGTTGTTTGGTGGGTTGGTTGTCTGGCTGATTGGTTGAGTGGTGGTTAGCTTGGGAGAGTGACTAAATGGCATTTATGCTAGTCTTTCTCCACAAACGCAGGCTTATATCTGAGCTAACTTTCCTGGAGATGCCCTAGATGGAAAATGTGCAGGCCACGATGTTCTCTGACTCAACACCTCACTTTCCCATCATATCCCAAAAGCAGTAGGGAAAATCAGCAGACAAAGTTGTGTGCTAGTGGCTAGAATAACAAACAGGCTTGACCCTTGATCTAAGGAGTCTGGCATCCTTTTATCCCAGGGTTGTGGACATTATTGACATTTTGAATCACATGATTCCTTGCTTGGGGCAGAAGGGCTGGCCTTGCAAATAAGACATTTAGCAGTGCCTCTGCTTGGCCTCTGCTTGGTGCTAGACAGCTACCTCCCGAGGCGGGTACAACAATCAAATGTGACTCTAGACATGGCTGGATGTTTTCTAAGAGGATGAAGGCTCTCCTAGCCGAGACGTGCCTCAGTCTAAAGGGAACAGTATGAAATGATAACTATGGTAGCCAAGTGGGCTCTGCAGCCCAGCCCAGTGAAGTGTGAAGAAAGGCCATTGGAACTGGCCACACAGGGTTACTAGTGACCCTGATGGGCCCAGTGAGGTTGAAATGCAAGGGGTAAGGGCCCGATTGGAAAAAGTGGAGTGAGAAAAGGGGTGTACCATGTGTGTGGGGGCAGATCCTTCAAGCCCCTTGACTGGAAGAAGAGGACCAGAAGCCAGGGTAGAGGCTGAGCTATTTAATGGTGAGACAGTCAGCAGGATTTGGGGTTCTCCAGTGCAGAGAGAGTGGTTGGTGATGGGAGGGAGAGGCAAGAGCATCTGCTGGCCTGCAGATGGACAGGGCAGCCTTCGAGAAGGTCTCCATGGACACAGGAAAGAAACAGGACACACCATCAGTGTTTTCCTGTCGCCATTCCTCTTCCTCCTAATGCTCAGAGAGATGACTGGTCACAGCCGGAGGAAGCCACCTCAAACCAGACCCGTACCCTGCAACCGCCCCTCCCCCAGTCGCTGCAGGAAAACGGTCATCTTTATCTCCAGGCTCTCAGGTCTCCCGGGGGTCTCACAGGCTGTCCTCTCCTGCCTTTTCAGGGTCTTCTTCAAGATCAAAAGCCGGAATGCGCACATGAAGACCCACCGGCAGCAGGAGGAGCAGCAGAGGCAGAAGGCTCAGAAGGCAGCTTTTGCAGCAGAAATGGCAGCCACCATTGAGAGGACTACGGGGCCGGTGGGGGCACCTGAGCTGCTGCCCCTGGACCAGCTGAGTCTGATGAAGCCGGTCAAGGATGTGGACATCCTGGAGGACGACGTGGTCCAGCAGTTAGGTGTCATGGACGAGGCCGAGGTGGTGGGCACGGATCTTCTCCTGGATGAACAAGACTCGGTCTTGCTTCAAGGTGATACGGAACTCTGAGTCCCCGTCCATCACCCAGAGACACAGAAGCCACACTCCGTCTCCGCCATCAGGAGAACCAGGACTTCCTGCTCCTTCGGAAACCCTTTTAAACGACCTGTTTAAAAAGTGGTCCTTTTCTTCAGGTTAAGGGAGGGGAAAAATCCAGTTCTTTCTCTTTTACCTTCTTTTACATTGTTTTTGTTGGGGGTTGGGGGGGAATAAAAAATTGGCACAACTGTCTTTAAGAGGTGTCTCATCTGGGCTGTGTTCTCGTGGGGCCCCTTTCCCTCCAGATTGAGCCTCACATTCGTGTTGCTTTGCTTTCAAATGTCAGCCACCCTGGTTGCCTTTTGTCTCCAAACTTGCTTGCTGTGAATATGTGTGTGTGTGTGTGTGTGTGTGTGTGTGTGTGTGTGTAGGAAGCAGTTTACCCCATTCATGCTGGGACTTTAGGCCATGTTTCCCCACCAAGAATTATTTTTATTCTGTTCTGACCTGCCAGAAAGCATTCTCTCTCAGGTCAGAAGAACCCGTGTCTGTCTTTCTTCCTTCTTTTCTTTCTCTCTTTTTCCTTTTTTTTTTTTTTTCAACATGGTTCATGGCCAGTGGAGTTCTGAACTTACTTTGCACCACTTGAACATACTGTGAAACCTTTTTTCACTCCGATTTGCTCTAACTTGTGTGTGCGGGACTGAGGTTTGCCTAGATGTTAGCTACAAAGAGATAGGGTTTTCTAACGCATAGACATAGCAGCTGCAATGGGAGCTGCTTTGAAAACCAACACAAATGTTTTCAGATCGAAGTTCGCTACAGTGCTTGCATTCAGACAATGAATGTATTCGTTCCAAGCCACTTACCAAAGCAATCCTGGACTTCTCTAAGCTACATGACTTTGCTCTGCCCCTGACAGCAGGGGGCGCCAATTGTACTTGAAGGCAATAAACCTGTAATCCTTCAAAAATGTCATTGCCCAGGCTTTTGTGCTTAGTTGGGCTGACTCCCTCCCACTGTTAGTGCACAGACAGACTGGAACGCTGCCCCTGGCATGGAGGAGGCAGTCAGCCTCCCCTCTGTGTCCATGGCCTGTGGCCTCCAGGCCAGGTGTCTTCAGGTCTTGACCCCTCCTTGAGTAGACTAGCTCCCCATCTCTGTGTAAGTACAGCTGTCGCGCTGGACCACTGTGCTGGCCCATGATCAGCTCGGCATTGGAGAGCATCCTAGCAGAGGAGTGGGGCTGGACTCCCTTCACGTTGGATTCTACAAAACCATTTGGCATATACTCGCGGCCAGGGCACCGTGACCCACCACAGCCCTCACTCAGGCAGTGGCTTCTAAGTCTCAGGAGAGCCACAAGGGGAAGACTATTTACAAAGATTCTTTTCCTTTCCATCACTGTTTTTTAGAAGTATCTTGAGGTCCTTTCTAGGTGGGAACGGGGTGGGGGGGGGGTATGTTTTCCTTGCTGTCCTTTCAAAGGGTTGTTTCTAGCCTGTGATTGCTCTCAGAAGTGTTGAGTTAAAAACTGCATGAGCTTCCTTTCAGAACCCTTCCGGGTGCCACTCTTCAGCGGACCGCAGGGCCCTGTCTGTCTTTGCGTCTGTTTAGCTACAGAAAAGAGCAAATGCCCAGAGAACCCCAGGAGGTCCGTATCCTCCTTCCGCTTGGGGATTTGCCCAGTTGAAAACCTTAGGAATAAACTGACCTGCCACAATTAATTTCGATTTTTCATGCAGTATAGCGTAATGATTATTTTGAGTTGAAAGAACCAAAGAACTCCTCCTTAATGACAGTTCAGATATCTTGAGTTTGTATTTCCCAACTATCAACTTAAAGTTTAATTGACTTCCTAGTAAAAATTGCACTTTTTTTCCTCCCGGAAATGATTCTACCTGCATGTGCGTGTTGTGTTTTAGCTGCCCCCACCCCACCCCCTTCCCAATGGTTAATGTCTTCTTCACACGGCTCCCACTGACTCGATGGTTTTTCAGTAATGAATTTAGACTCCCTTTGAGAAAGCTTGTATATAAAAAGTTAACAGATCTATTTTATGGAAAAACCCATCTTATTTTCAAATATATTTAACTGCTGTTATATTTTATTAGAGGAAGGTTGTAAATATTTTCTAGGAGTTCTATTGTAAAGAAAAGTATTTTTGAAAAAAATTAATGTAATAAAAAGGAAAACGTTTTTAAATAGTGGCTGTGACTGCTTCCTGCTCCGCTTTTGTTCTGGTGCACCCTCGGCCAGCGGTTTGCATGCCCTCATATCAGGATGTAATTCAGGTTTGCACTGTTCTAAGTTAACATCGTAATCTCTAATGTGCTTCACTGTATGTTTCTGGAGTGCACAGCAGAGTGCTGTGTGTGCTCAACTCATGGTTTTTCTTTTGTAATGTGTGTATTTTTAATAAGGATTTTATGTAACATTTTGGCAAAAAAAAAAAAAAGGAAAAAAGAAAAACAAAGAGGACAGTATTTTCTAATGAATTTTATAATAACATTTTGCTAAAAATGTTCCTTCCTAGGTCAGTTTTTGTTAAGGCGAATCAAAAGTCTTATTTTCCAGGGGTTAAAAAAAAAAAGTTTGAAGATGGAAAGCAAAGTTCTATTTAAACATCATATGTAATAAATGAATAAAGATGTTTTATAGACCTGTCCTCTAAAGGTGCATTTCTTAAATTAAAATGATGATGATGGTGGTGGTGGTGATGGTTGTGGTTGGTGGTGGTGGACTGGCAGGTCCTAAGCTGTCTTCTGTTCTGAGTGTTAGCGGTGAGCTGCTTTGGTTTGGGTTTTTTGTTGTTGGCTTTTGCTTTAAATGATTGCAACGCTTTTGCAGAAGAGAACAGGAGAGCATTAAGGACGCTCCAGCCAATCAACTGTCTGAGAAACCGTTCCAAGATGGTCAGTTCATCCAGTAGAAGTGTAACCAAATACACAGTCGGATTTGTTTTTGAAAACCTGACTCTGTTGCATCAGCTGCCCTGAAATCAATGGTTATCTTTTTTGAGTCTCACTCTGCTCACATACTCCTTCTTTCGGCCATGGACGATTCCTGGATGCGTGGTCAATGCTAACCACCATCTCGCCTGTCCAGTGGCTTCTGTGGACAGTGAGTTTAGGTCTTCTGGTCAGATACTCTTCTCATTAAAGTGTTCCTGCCTGGGGAAGCCAGGACCAGGATTTACATCTCTGCTCCTTGAGTAATAAATGAGCCACTTGAAGACATGGCATTCTCCAAACTGTGCCTCCCATTAACTCTTCTCAGCACTTGGGAAACAGAAGCAGGCAGATCTCTGAGAGTTCAAGCCCAGGCTAGTCTATATATTTCTGCCAGTTCCAGGTCAGCCAGGCCTACATACTGTGACCGTCCACCCTCCCCTCAAGACAAGAAAGAAAAGAAATCTTACCGTAAGTCCTCAACAATAGGTTTATCCTGATTTATTAGCATTTTAATATGAATTTCCAAAATTTATATGCGTTTACTTTTAGTCAGCAGTAAACTTTAGAAGAAATTTGAAATTTTGTGTTTGATACAGTTTGTCCTTTTTAGAACTTTAATTTTTTTTTATGTCATCCTGTATCAAAATAGCTGGTCTAGATTCAGTACACATACAGCCAGGGTTGTAAACTGAGTCAGCTTTTAGCAAGATTCCAGTCCCACTGTTGCACTCAGTCAGTCAGTCTGTCTGTCTCCATGACCTGTACTAGACACTTTCAGTCCTGTAATCGTGTATGCAAAGATAGCTGTGCCAGTTGCTTCACTCAGAAGAACTGAATACTGAGCAAACGCAGATGAGGGTGGGGGGCTGGTCCAGCTCACCATTGGAAGAGCAAAGTTTATACTCTATTAATACCGAGAACTTCCCCGCACACACCTTCGGGGCATTTCAGAGCCGGTCCTCTGTGGTCGTCCGCTAAGGCCTCTCTGCCCGGGCATACTCTGTGTAAGGAAGAGCACTCATTCTTTTGCAAATGAAAGTTGAATTCCAAGCCAGGCAGTGTGGCTCACGCCTATAATCCCAGCACTCAGGGAGGCAGAGGCAGGCAGAGCTCTGTGAGTTTGAGGCCAGCCTGGTCTACGAAGCAAGTCCAGGACAGCCAAGGCTACACAGAGAAACTCTGTCTTTTTTTAAAAAAAAAAAAAAAAAAGGAAAGAAAGAATGTTGAATTCTGATTTCCACAGGACTGTCTTCTCCAGGTACAGCCAGTCAGATGAGATGTATGTTCTAGGCAACTGGATGGATTTTTAATCCAAACATAATTTGGAAGGCATTTTAAAAAACCAAATGTGCTCTGTGGACCACAGATATCTACATAAAAGAACTGTAAAAGAATATTTGGGAAAAATGAAATTAGTGATTCTTAACAGCAACAACAGAAAAGCTGTAGAAGGGTAGAGCGCTTCCTTCATGCAAGAGAGGCAAAGTCAGGCATGATGGTGCTTGCTTATGATCCCAGTGCCAGGGACGTGGAAGCATGAGGGGCAGGATTTCCAGACCACCCTTGGCTACGTGGCAAGTTCTAGGCCATCTGAGCCACACAATACTCTGTCTCAAAAGAGATGGTAAGATGCCTCAGCAGACAAAGAGGCCGGGCCTGACACCGAGTTGGATCCCTGGATACTACAAAGTGGGAGGAGAGAACCAACTTCTGAGTTACGTCCTGACCTCCAGGACACAAACATGCACATCACACACAGTGCATACATACATACAGGGAGAGAACAAATCTGTTTGTTTGTTGAGACAGGGTTTCTCTGTGTAGCCTTGGCTGTCCTGGACTCACTTTGTAGACCAGGCTCACCTCAAACTCACATAAATCTGCCTTCCTTTGCCTCCCCAAGTGCTGGGCTTACAAACATGCACTACTGAGCCCAGCTGAGAGAACAAATCTTCTGAAGAGGAATCTCTTTAAAAGCAGAACAATTGGATAGTCAGGCAGTGTTGGCACACACCTTTAATTCCAGCACTCAGGAGGCAGAGGCAAGCTGATCTCTGAGCTGTAGGCCAGCCTGCTCTATAAAGCTAGTTCCAGGACAGCCAGGGCTACGCAGAGAAACCCTGTCTTGAGAAAACAAACAAACAAAAACAATTGGTACAGTCAAAATAGGATATAACCTACTTTACCTGCGGCTGTTTTCTGGGCCTAAAGCAAGGCGTTCTTGTAGAACTAACTAGAATAGTTCCTCTCGGTTGAGCCAGATGTTTAAAAGTTCCAGCTGCAGGAAAGGGAACTGTGGTAACTGCCCACTCCAGAACGCTGCTGGTGCCCCAGAGTACGCGCCAAGGTTCCTGTGTATGCCTGGAGTTTCCAGACCCACCTGCCGCCTGGGGCCTAAAAAAACCAACGAGCAGAGACAGGAACTGAATCTTTAAAACTGTGCTTCATTCAGGGTGCTGGCAAGTGGAAGAGACTGTGGGCTAATACAGTCTCTAAAATAACTAACCTTAAGTCTCGTCTCTTCCCAGCAGATCATATGGGATGACAAAGGGGTTTGTCACTCAGGGGTCAATCTCCTGGCAATGATTGGCCAAGTCTCCAAGACTGGGGGTGTCTCTGCCTCTCTCATTATCACTCCGTGCACTCCTCCCTGACTCTGTGGATCTTTGGCCCCAAACACTTCTTGAAAACCCAAATGTTGAGGCCACTGAGATGACTCAAAGGTAAAGGTGCTTGCTGCCAAGCCTGGAGATCTGAATTCAAATTCCCAGTCCCCACATGGTGGAAGGAGAGAACCACTTCCCGAAAGTTTCCTGTCCTCTGACTTCCATGCACATACATAAAATTAATAAATAAAATATGTCGAGGGAAAAATCATGCCTCTAGTTAGTACCAAAACTCTTCCAGGGATATCTGGATCGGGAGGAGGAGTTAACGTGGACCAAGCAAACCATGCCCAGTGTGTGTGCTAAGCTAAGAACAGCATGTATGTGCTGACTCCTTTCTGCAACACGTAGTGCAAATGTGGGTATTATACAGAATATGAAAGTGACTGACCCTATCATGCCAGCTCTACTGCTGGCAAAACCGTGGCTTTTTCCTTTATGGTGTGTGCTGCCTAATTTTATATCGGCTTGACACAAGCTCGTCATCTGAGAGCAGGGAAGACCAATTAAGAAAATGCCTTCCTAAGAGAGGGTTGTAGGCAGGCCTCGGGGCATTTCCTATGATGATGGAGGTGGGTGCGGCCACCCCTGAGCTCACGGTCCTGGGTTCTATAAGGAAGCAGCCTGAGCAAGTCCTGAAGTGCAAGCGAGTAAGCAGCACCCCTCCATGGCCTCTGCATCAGCTCCTGCCTCAAGTTCCTGTCCTGCTTGACTTCCTGTCTTGACTTCCTTTGATGATGAACTATAATATGGAAGTGTAAGCCAAATAAACTCCCCAAGTTGCTTTGGTCACAGCACTCGAAGCCCTAACTTTAGACCCTAACTTTCACACTTGGCCCCGAGGCATTACACTAAAATACAGTTTTCTGTCCTACGACATGGCTCAGGTGAGGAAGATAAGAGGATCTCAGTAAACCCCCACATTTGAGCATAGACGTGGAGAAATCAGAACCAACGGCAGCTGCAGTGGCCACACTCGGAAAGAGCCGACTCTCAGCTGTGAGAACCCACCACAGCAAAGGCCAAGGCCTCTGAGCAGAGGGGGACACCCAGTCCCTAAGGCTGCTTCGAGCACGCCTCTCTGGTTCCGATGAGCAGATCATGCCACCAAGCCGATAAAACTGTCTTTGTGAAGTGGGGTGAAAAGGACAGTGGTAGCTTTAGTCCTCTCATCCAAAAGAGACATCAAAAGCCGGTCATCGTCAGACAGAACTAGAGCACTGCATGGGTCCAGCGGGCCTTGAACTAGGATTGTGAGCCTTCACAATTATGGGTTCAGTTGTAACTCACCATATGACCTTGGCCAAGTCAACTCACCTCTGAGCCTCAGTTTCTCTACCAAAAAGTTAAGATTATTTCCGTGAGGATGAGATTGGGTAACCCAAGTGAGAGTCCTTTCCAAGCTGTTCTGTCACCAACATTATAGGTGCAGCACAGTCACCAGCTGAGAGAGAGCCTAATTCTGAGGAGGCCTCTGGGTTACCTGCCCAGGCACAGCACAGCCAACTCCAGCCAGGTACTAATGAAGATTCTGTTTCCACACAGAGGAACAGAAACACCTCCACGTAGAGGGCAGCCCGAGGGGCAGGAAAATGTTTCTGTTCTCAGCTCTTTCATCAGTTTGAGGCGCCATCTGAACCAAATCACCCTGCCCTTAGTTCTCTTGCCTGCCAAGTAAGGCAACAAATGACTACTTGTGGGAGCCACAACTTCACATTTGCATGATACTTTATTGAGATACAATACATCATTCTCATCAAGTTGATCCTTATTCATTTCCCCTAAAACCTCTTAAGGCCCGGGATGTAGAAGAGATCTAATGTGATAAATTCGAGATGACATTTGTCATGTGTTAGGTGTTGTACCAAACGCCCTACCAGCATCTCATTTTATCCTCTACTGCAAGTATCATTTATCTTCACCTCCACGTGACAAATGAGAAAACGGATTCAAAGTAAAGAAGAAATTTGATCAAGTCACCCAGCTAAATGAAGACCAGAGCTCCAAGTGTATGCTAATTGCAATATGAAGGCATTTTGAAAAACAAAGTTTAGAATTTTCCATCAACAAAGCAGGCGTTCCAAGCGATGTGAATAAAGTTTCAGAATAAGACGGCTTTTGAATTTGGGCTTAGTAGTAGCGGCAAATTTCTTTCCAAGAATGTGTTTTGTTGTGTTTGTCTCTAAACAAACAGAACCACCCAAGACAAATAGGATTATAAATAGCATATAGATAGAACCTGGTAACCAGATAGGGGCTGAAGCCAGTTTATCCAGACGGCAAAAGCGACGCACCCTCTCAAAAAATTTAAATGAATCAGTTAATAATCCATGCATTTAAAAAAAAAAAAAAATCAAGGAGCCACATCTCTATGGTTGTTTCAGAGCCCCAACACAGAGACACTCTCTCTTTGTCGAACTCTATGGTTCGAGGACAATGTTGTGACCCCGGAAGCGCTCCTGGGAGGTCAGGGCGTCAAGATGGCGGCGCGCGCAGCGTGTGTAGCTGTGTGCCGGCGCCTGCAGCAGGTAAAGGGGTGGGCGGGCGACCCTGACCGGCCGAAGGCGCCGACGCCGAGTCCCGCTGCCACCCCCTGCCCGGCCGGTTCGTAGTCTTCTTAGAAAGCGACAAGAAAAGGGCGGATTTTTCTCGCGCGGGATTCAGCAAGACGGGAACGAGAACTCCATAGACTGTCAGAGAGGGAAAATGAGGAAAGCATTTTCAGGAACCTCCCTTCCACGTTAGAAAGGGTAATGGAAACCCCGAGAGCAGAGAAGACAGGAAGCTAGCCTCGGATGCCTAGGAGCTGAGCCAGGGCTGGGTTCTCGGAAACCTCGCGTGGAGCTGCTGTGAGCCGCCCTCCTTCCCCCCGGGGGTTGGGAAGGGCTCCCAGGTCAAGGGGGTGGGTTCCCTCGCGAGGTTCTCTGAGGAAAGAGAACCTGCGAGGCGTTCTCCAGGCATTAATCGCAGCACTGAGGAGGCTGAGGCCGGCGGGGTTCTGGGTTCGAGGATAGCTAGGCTACATACTGAGATCCTAAATTTAAATTAAAAACAAACTAGGTGGCTCTCAGGAACTTTGGCCTCGTGACCTTTGTAAGTTTACCAATGGCCTTTAGTAGATTCGAAAATAAAGCTGAGAACCGGCCGCGAGGGCTCACACTGTAATACCAGTACTTGGAAAGCAAGAGGAAGATTGCCACCAGCCTGCTCTGCTTAGTGAGACTGTCTCCACATACAAACAATTGGGGGGAGGCTGAGAATGTAGCTCAGTCGCTACACTGTTTGACTGTTATTAGGCATGTTGTTAGACAATACCCCAGAGATGGTGGCCCATACCTGTAATACCAGCACGTGATAGATAGAAACAAGAGGATCAGAAGTTCAGAATCATTCTCAGCTATATAGAGTTCAAAACCAGACTGGGCTCCGTGAACTTGTGTCTCACACACACACACACACAATATATATATATATACACACACACACACATATATATACATATGTATATACTTGTACTAGAGATTGAGCCGAGGGCCTTGCCCACACCAGACAAAGGTTCTGCCACTGAACTACACATTCTTAGCCTTCAGTGGTACTCGGGTCCTCTGAAAGAGCTGCTGAGCCATCACTCCAGCCTTGTAGTCTTCACGGGTCAAATAGTTAACTCTTTAGGAAAACTTTTCCAAAGCAAAATTATTTTCAAGATTTATGTGCACAGTGTGCTGCCTGCACACCAGAAGAGGGCATCAGATCTCACTATAGATGGTTGTGAGCCGCCATGTGGTTGCTGGGAATTGAACTCAGAACCTTTGGAAGAGCAGTCGGAGCTCTTAACCTCTGAGCCTCTCTCCAGCCTGCAAAAGCAAATTTAATGAAGTGTAATGCTTTAGAATCTAGCCTCATAGAAAAAGCAGCTCTATTCTCATGTCTGTTTCTGCATCTTGTCGTTTGTTCTTATGGTAGAACTCACAGCTTTGGAAAAGTGCACTGTAAACCAGTGAGGGAGTGAAAGTACCAAAGTCCCGAGTAATGTCTAAGTGAGTTTTGGTTCCAGGCCTTCTGTCTAAGGACTCATGAGAAGTCTTGGCACACTCTGGCATAACTGCCATTCTTAGGAAAAATGTACAGTGCCCGGAGAGGTGGTTAAGAGCACTTGTGCAACCTCAAGGACTGGGTTTCATGAGCCATGAGTTCGGATTCCAGCACCAGCCTAACAAGTGGTTGGCATTCACGCTCACCTGTGGTTCACAGTTCCAAGGCTCCGCTGCAGCCTCCAGACTAGCCAAGAAGATTAGAGTCTTGGGACAGGGGAGACACTGCCTTTAAGAAATAGGTGGCCAGTGACAGAGGATGACACCCAGCAGGTTCTTCAGGCCTCTACACACTTGGCCCCTTCACATGCATGTAGACACAGATATACACATGTAGAAATTTTTAAAAGAAAAATAGAGTGAAATCTTTGCATTTGTAAGAAAACTTTATCTAGCCAGATCTGCCCATACACACACCCTAAAAAAAAAAAAAATTAAGCTTGATGCAGTGGGAGGTGCGGGCAGACATACTGGGCGCTCGTGGCCATCCTCAGCTCTCTGCCCGGAGGCCAGATTGTGTTGCATGCAGCCCCAAATGAACCACAGTTTCAGAGGAGGAGCATGCCTGGGAAACAGTACCTGTTTCACTGATGTAGGAGCGCTCACTGTGAGTGTGAGGAATGAGATGCATTGTGCCTGGTGTCTCTTCTCACCTGTAAGCCAGATTAGATTGGAAACGGGTCTCCCAGCATAAGTAAAGAGCAAGGACGTGGATGCATGGACTGGTTGGTCTCTGTTTAATCCTGGCTTTTATGGAACTTGCTCTGTAGACCAGGCTGGCCCCCAACTCAGATCCTCCTACCTCCCAGTCGCTGGGATTAAAAGCGTTCACCAGCATGCCAAGCGCAGGCTGTGTTAAATGCGTCCATTAGTAGTTTTAATTAAGCTTTACCTGTGCCTCCCTGTTACTTCCATCTTTGTTGTAGTTTTAAAGAGTTTGTTTTGCTGCTTTCCAGGCTTTTGGTTTTTCGAGACAGGGTTTCTCTGTGTAGCCTTGGCTGTCTTAGACTCTTTCCAGAGCAGACTTGGGCTGGAACTCACAGTGATCTGCATGCCTCTGCTTTCCTGAGGCTGAGATTAAAGGTGTGCACCACCATGCCTGACCAAGGTTATACTTCTAATCCCAGGAAAGTTTAGTGTTTGTGGGTGGCTGAGAAACACCATTTGCCTCCTAAAACAGTTCCACCAGGGGGCGCTCACTACAAGGGCTTGTGCTGCGCTGGGTTAGGGCAGCTCTCCCGTCAGTTAGTGATGGGTGTGGGAGAGGTGTGCGCAGTAGTGTGGGTGATTTACAACAACGGTGCTTCGTCCAAGCCACGAGTATCCCAGCTGCTAACAGATTAAGTTACACAAGCAAGTAATTTAAAAGTTTTTGTTCTCTGTTTTGTTTCTGGAACCAAGTCTCACACTGTAGATCTGGCTGTCCTTGAACTCATGGATCTTTCTTCTCCACCCCCAAGTACTCAGATCGAAGGCATGTGCCACATGCCTAGCTAAGTTGTTTTGGTTTTGTTTTAATTCGTGTGTGTGTACCGTCGTGAGTTTTCTGTGCACCACGTGCACACTGGTGTCCACGGAGGCCAGAGGGTCCCACATAACCTGGAACTGGAGTTATAGAGGTGTGGGTGCTGGAAACTGATCCAGAGTGCTAAGAGCAGTAAGCACTTTGTTTTTGTGTGGTTGGTTGGTTTGGGGCTTTTTTTTTAAGATAGGGTCTCTCTCTCTGCGTAGCTCTGGTTGTCCTGGAACTCACTCTGTAGACCAGGCTGGTCTCAAATTCACAGAGCTCTGCCTGCCTCTGCCTCTGCCTCCCAAATGCTGGGATTAAAGGTGGTGTGTGCTACCACTGCTCAGCCAGCACTTTGTTTTTGACGAAGTCTGATTTGGTCGTCCTGATGCCCAGTATCTTCCTCTGTAGGTTGAGACCCTTTTTCTGAATACCATGCACCTTCTCACCTATGCTCTGGGCGCTATTTCTGACACCTATCCCCTCCGCTCTTTTTAGGAATTGGGGAATTTGTCTGTAAATGGCTCTGAGAGCACTACAACCAAAGCCGGTGGCCTCCTGCTGTAAGTATGAACTCGATTGCTTAGCTGTGCTAGAAAACGGGGCTCCGTGCTGTTGACTGAGGCTCCTCTCTCCCCACACAGCAGTTGCAGTACAAAGTGGGTGCCACGGTCAAGCCTGCACATGGACATTCCAAAGGATTTGACCAACCCTACGGTAGGTACCCCGTCAGGCAGGGCATGGCATTGAAAGCCTCTGGCCCCAGGACAAAGGAGCTGCAGGTAGGGCATCCTCAGTTAATAGCAAGTTCAAGGCCTGCCTGGGCTACATGCAGCCCCATCTCAGAAAACAGCAGCAGCAAAAAGAATTACGTTAGTCATTTCCTTTTTTCCTGGTTATTTCATTCAGGCCTGTTTCCCAAACACATAGACTTCTTTGTTCTAGAAAACCGGCAAGTGCACAATGCAGACTGTGATGTTCCTGGGAACTCCTGGGCTATTTTTCATGCTGTCAGTATGTCCTAAAGGAGTATTTTACTTACCCCAAATAACTGGTAATGAGCAGTTTCTTGCTCTTAGCTCGGCATTATTCAGGAGTGTGATAGTGAGTGATGCTGAATTCTTGATGTTGTGTTACAGAAAAGAACTTCTCTGTGGCCTTCAAGTCTTTTCTTTTGAATATTGAGCCTGGGCCTGTGCAGTGTGCTCTGCCCACATTGAAGCGGGTCATTGACAGCAGTGGGAATACACAAGTAGTTATGTGACCTTACAGAGTTCAGGACAAGATGCTGTCTATCCCGGGCTAGCCTTGAACCAGCTGTGTAGCCAAGGGTGACTTTGAACTCCTAATCCTCCTGCCTTATATTCAGTGATAAGGTTACTTGAGATGTCTTTCTGAAGTTCTAAAAGTTCCATATCTTTCCATTTCCACTTCAAAAATTAATCTTTGTAGTGTGGTGTGAGCCCATTTATATCATCCCAGCACACAGAATTGTCTCTTCTACAGTGGCAGCTGTCTGCGTTTCCTTACTCACTCAGTGAACATTGGTGACACACCCATGGCAGTATGTGCAAATGCTGGTCTCTAGCTCAGACGCTGCAGGGCCACACCTGTAAGAGGTGGCTGAAAGGCTGGGCGTTACCTCAGTGAGGAAAGTGCTTGCTGGGCAGACATGAGGATCCAGGCTTGGATCTGCAGCATACACATAAAAATCTGGGTGCAGGAGCACGTTCCTATAAGCCGGTGCTGAGGGGAGTAGACAGGGAGACCCCTGGGGCTTGCTGGCTTGACAGGCCAGCCCAGTCATTAAGCTCCAGGTTCAGGGACAGACCCTGTTTCAAAATATATGGTCTGGCCAGTGAGGTAACTCAGTGGGTAAAGACAGTTGCCACCAAGTCTGACACCTGAGTTCAGTCCCTAGGACCCACATGGTAAAAAGTCAGAGCCAATTCCCACAGGTGTCCTGATCTCCGTCTGTAGGCCGTAGCATGCACACCGACAAATAAACTTAATTTAAATGTTTTGCTTTTTAATAATACGATAGACTGCCAGGAAAGTAGCTCAGCGAGTGGAGGTGCTTGCCCCCAACCTGACCGAGTTCATTTCCCAGAACCCACATCGCAGGAACAGAGAAGTTATCCTCGGACCTCTGCATGCATACATATGTATGTACGTACATGCACACACCGCCTCTTTACGACTTGTTCTGGGTACTTAAGGACCTCTGAGAAATCAGACCTGTGATATTAGATGTCAGACTAGCCCAAACTAAAATGAGGATGATCTCACAGGACATCTTCAGAAATACTTTGAGACTTGCTGCAAATTCACAATAGTTTTAAAACCCAATAGGGGTGCTTAAGGTTAGCTCAGTAGTAGAGTTCTTGCCTAGCACTCTCTAACATCACAAAAATAAAAAAAAGAAAGAAAATTAAATTAGTAAATAAAACAAACCCTACAAGAATACACCCTCTCTGCAGCCCCAATTTTGATGTAAAGATCAGTTAATTCTGTTTTTCCAGCCATCTTATTTGGAATAATTGCGAATAGATACCTTCCTTCTTGGTTATTAAGTAGCTCTCTTTTCAAGGGTGAAGTAATTTAACCCTGACTCACTGGATTAGTAATAACATTTACTGGTTTAATGGGTGAATGAAATGAAGATAATTCACCTCTTGGAAGAAGTCAGAAATGTCAAGCCCATTATTTCTAAGGTCTTTGGGTATTAGTGTGGAAGGTCCAGCCAGTGTCATAACATTTTAATTAGACATGAGTAATTTCTGTGTGAAGACAGGCCAACCATACATGAATAAATCCTAGTAAAAAGGCATGAATAGAGCTAGCTGCATTTTGTATAACAATTGCAGTGTTTAACGATTTATAAGCACTTTAATTTGTGTCTTCAGTTTGTCCTTGTAGAAATGCCATGAGCATTAGCACAAGTGACATTATCCTACCTTAAAACAGTGCACACGTTGGAGCAGGGATCATACAGCTCTCATTGTCAGCCACCAGTGGAGAGCTTTTCAGTCCCCACTACGACCGGGTCACTTGCTGACAGACTCTGAGGCCCTTCTCACTAGGGACTGGGGGCTAAGCTAGTTAAACTGGAACATCCATAGTGATGTTGTAGTGACCTTGAAGGTTGTAGACTTTGGCAGGGTTGGAAGGTCATAAGCTGACAGTTTCAGAACATCGCTTGCTTTTGTTCTCATTTACTATTAAACTCTGAAGTCATTCAAACAATAATACATTAAATTTGCTGGTTTTAAACATTACAAGAACCAAAACCAAAACTTGTCTTTTTTATTTTAGATAACCACTTCTGATGAGCCAGACACATTGTACAAACGCCTGTCCATTTTAGTGAAGGCCCATGACAAGGCTGTGTTAGACAGTTACGAGTATTTTGCTGTGCTCGCTGCTAAAGAACTTGGCATTTCTATTAAAGTGTGAGTATGACCTTTCCTAATCTGACCTGTTGTTTGCCATCATATGATCAGACAGGAAGCTGACCGTGATCCCAGGTAGGTCTGAGCTTGTGAGACAGGATAAATCTGTGGGTAAAGTTGAAGCCTGTCCTGTGTTAACCTGCGAAGTGGTGTTGTTTCCTGTCAGCCAGTATTAGAATGAGGAAACACGGAAAATGAAAGCAACCTTTTCTGGAAATTACACTGACTGTTTGGGATCTCTGTGAGATGGGTCTCTGAGGCACTGTCCAGGCTTGATAGTTCACTAGCTAACACCTCCATCATGTGCAACTTCCCTGAACAACACCAGCTTCCTGGGAGCTTCAAATAAGGTGAGCTTTGTGCAGCTCACTGGAGTCTTGCAGTCACTGGAGCCTAAATTGGAGCTGCCTCTTGGCACCTGCTCCTTCTGGTGTTGAACAGGCTCGCCTGAGGCTCTGCCAGTCTACGCTTGTAGCAAAAACAGAAGACTGAATGGTTTCCCAGAACAGACAGTTTCTGTGATCGTCAGGATATCCCGAGTTTCCCTAACAGCAGACATTACAGTTGTGTTCAGCGGTGCTGCCGCTCTTGGTAGCAGGCAGGCTTGGCACGTGAGGGGGAACCTGAGGGGTATCAGGTGGCAGGCTGTGTCTGCACGTTCTTGCACTGCTTGTCCGGGGTGTGGGAAGAGGTTCTTGTATTTGAAGTGTTTATTTTGGCCTGAGTTTTGTGGCAGCAGCTGTTATGAGGAGGCTTGACAAGTGGTAGCCAGTGACTAGCAGTTAGCCTGTAATTGAGCGAGCCTGACTTGCAAACCTCCTCTATGATGCCTTCGTATCAGTGACTCACACGTAACACCACTGAGCTTCAGTTTGCTCTGTCCATTCATTTCAGACATGAACCGCCAAGGAAAATAGAGCGCTTCACTCTTCTCAAGTCAGTGCACATCTTCAAGAAGCACAGAGTTCAGTATGAGATGAGGACGCTGTACAGGTGTTTGGAGGTGGGTTTCACTCTGCCCATCGAGGTGCCGGGAACAGCAGGCTTCATTAGCATGTAACATGACCTCAGTCTACCATCTGCCCAGCCCTTCCTTTCAGCCAACCCATTTATTTATTTGTGTTGGGTGGTAGAGGGCAGGCGTGGGCACGCCTGTGATCCCAGCACTCAGGAGGCAGAGGCAGATGGATCTCTGTGAGTTCCAGTCCAGCTTGGTCTGCAGCAGCCACAGCTATACAGCGAAACCCTGTCTCAAAAAGCAACGAACAAACAAACAAAATGCTTGTTTATTTGTGGGGCTAGGGGCACATGCCACATCATGTTGTCCTTACTCCTTAAGCCCTCTAGTTGGCCCCTACGTGGTGGTTTTTTAAAAGCTTTTTTAGCTTTATTGATTTGAGGTTTAGTTGGTTGGTTTGGTTTTTCAAGGCAGGGTTTCTCAGTATCACAGAGCTCTGGCTGTCCTGGACTCACTCTGCAGACCAGGCTAGCCTAGATACCTCCCAAGTGCTGGGATTAAAAGCGTGCACCACCTTGCCCGACAACTTTGTTAATTTTTAGTGTATGAGCACATGTATGGCTGCGCACCGCTTGTGTGCCTGTGGTCAGCAGATATGAGAAGAGGAAATTGCATCCCGTGGACCTGACATCCAGGCAGCTGTGCATTGTGTGGTGCTGGGAACTGAATCTGGGTCCTTTGCAAGAGCAGCCAGGGCTCACTGAGCCGTCTCTCCAGCCCTCCTACATGTTTTAAAATGGGATTCTGTGTAAGATTTCTTAGAAGAACAGGCCTCAGCACTTAGAAAGAATGAAAGAACCCTGTGATCTGACACTGTGGCAGACATCTTCGTTTTCTGTTCTAGTTGAAGCACCTGACTGGGTGCACGGCCAGTGTCTACTTGGAGTATATCCAGCGAAACCTGCCCGAAGGAGTGGCCATGGAAGTCACAAAGGTACGGCTGGAGTTCCTGCCTCCTGAGGGCTAGCTGGGTTGTTGTGCTCTCCAGCCTTGTCCTGGTTGTGGGGGGAAATGGTCTGTGGCACACTGGGAGCGGAGTCAGGCTCAACCCCCCACCCCTCAAGTCCTCATTGAGCCCCCTTGGAAGTCTCCCTAATGGTTGTTTGGCCTTGGAGACAGCAAGATGGCCCCTCTCAGCAGTCTCTGGGGACCAGGCAGCTTATGCACCATGCTTACGCTCCCTCCTCTGCTCCCTCCTCTCCTCGGAAGGCCTCCTAAGAAGGCAAGGGCAGCCTAGAGGGGCAGGGTGGGACAGGTCAGGGCATCAGGGTTGTAAACAGTTTACTCTAGAGTCGACACTGTGTTTCCATTTGGTCTACTTTGGTTTGTTTCTGTTTCAGACACAGATACAGAAGTTGCCGGAACACATCAAGGAGCCAATGTGGGGAACATTTGCCCAGGAGACCGAAGGAAGCAAAGCGTGAGACTGCCCGCCTGTGCTGTATCTGAAAGTCAAGGCCTGCTGCGCTCCCTGGAGAGCGCTCCAGCCCAGAGGAAGCCGTCCGCCTGGCCATGCTCTGCTGAGTCCTCACGCCCGAGCAGCCGAGGGGATCATGGCGGCAGGCGTGGCTTCAAGGAAGAACCACTGTGTCCGTTCTTTATACCTGACTTTGCTTGTGTTCTGCTTTGAACAAACATTAGCAAACTTCTGTATAACCTGAAACTAAAGAATCAGATTTAAACACCTGCGTAGCGCCACTCACCTGTTAATAGCTTGTGCTAATTTTATTTTTATTTATTTATTTATTCGTTCATTCATTCATTCTTATTTCTCAAAGTTGCAGAGATCCACCTGCCTCTGCCTCCCAGGTGCTTGGATCAAAGGTACATGCCACCGAGCCTGACTAGTTTGTGCCAATTTTAAGAACATTCAACAGAAAGTGGGTGATACATTTATCGTAGACAGTTTTATTTTGAAGTCCCTCAAACAACCTGCGTGGTTAAACGAGAGATGTGCAGTTAGAGGTTTCTTTGGTCTTTTCGTTCTTGCAGCCCAGCACATGCTGCCAGGGGGTGACAGTCAACAGATGACCTGATCCTAGCACCCTGTTTCAGAAACTGAGTCCACACTGACACACACAGCTCGTGTAGCCCGGAGCGTTGTGGAGCGGCTGCTCATGGCCACTGCAGGCCATCGCTGCTCTCAAGAAACTGAGCGTCATTTCATTTGTCCTGCGACTCATTCGCTCGTCAAACTTCTGTTCAGGAAGCTGCACTAAGAATGCTGAATTCCAGGGATTAACCAGAACCTGGCTTTCCAGTGCAGCTGGGCGCAGGTCAGTCTTTCTCCTTCAGTTCCTCACGGATAAGCCCTCTTGTCTGGTAGGTGTCCCTGCCTTGTTTGAAGATACGTACTTATCTCTGAAATTCAATTGCATGTAAAGCCCAGAATGAGGCAAGGCTACACCGGCTGAAAGGTCGCGCCTTCTGACTTGGGTTGAGTAGAGAGTGGTTGGCACAGCAGCCACAGGGGTACACTTTGTTTCTTACAGCCTAAGCAGGCCTGTGTCTGTCCCCTTACACGAATTTCCCGACCTGGTATCAGAGTCGGTACTCTACCACACCCTGCTGATGTGCTAGATTTCTATCACTGTCATCACGTGGGAAGAATTACAGCCCCGTCGCCTGACCTTAAGCTCAGACGTTGGCTGTCATTCATAGAGTATGTACTTATGCCAGGAGCAAGCATCGGAATTAAGAACTTGCTGGTCAGACAGGAGAAAGACTAATGCTGAGTCTAGCAAAGCTGCTGTCTGGCACACTTTTGCATAAAAGGTCTAAGTCTAAAAAGGAGCCAAGACCCACACATAAGATTTGGGGTGTTTGTCTTTTATAGTCAGTAAAAACAGCACAGATGCTCACCACCACGGCTGATCCTCACAGCCTGCCTCAGTAGTGTGCACCCGTTTCCAGTTGTTTCCAGATGCATACCAGTGAGCCAGGTCACTCAGCTGAGTGATACATGCCGTCGGCTCTTTAGCCGACTAGGGAAGACACCTGACTCCCCACCCCCGGAACACACACTGAGAGAGAACCGCCCCAAGTTGTCCAGTGACCTGTGCATGTGCACACCCAAGCACACGATAAGAAATAAGGCGCAGCAGCAAAAACTGGCGCTTTTCCAACATTTATCTCTATGTGATTTTAATTCTGTATCTCTGCACGGCTGTGTGTGCAAGAGGCCAAAGGTCATCCCTTTCAAAGCTCCCATGAACTGCCTGGTGTGGGGGTGTGAAGTTTGGTCCTCTGACAGCAGTGAGCTCTTAGCTGCCAAACCATCCTTTGAAGACAGGGTTACATAAGATGCCCTGCGCTTTGCCCAAAGTTTGGCTGTGAGTCTCAGCATCTGCCTCGAGGCCCTTTCAGAGGCCTCTGTGGCAGGCTCCTGTCCTGTAACCTGTTTTCTCCCTCCTCCGATGTCCATCCTCTTTGCCTTTCTGAATGGGGATTGAGCATCTTAGCCAGAGTCCTCCTTCCTGATTAGTTTCCTTAGGCATACAGCTTTTAGTATGTTTATCCTATATTTATGCCTAATATCCACTTATAAGTGAGTATATACCCTGTGTGTCTTTCTGCTTCTGGGATACCTCACTCAGGATAGTAAGACCTGGAGAGGACAGGAGCTCCACAAGGAGAGCAACAGATCCTAAAAATCTGGGCACAGGGGTCTTTTCTGATACTGATACTCCAGGCAAGGACCACTCATGGTGATGGCCTGGAACCCCTGCACACAGGTAGCCTATAGCAGTTTAGTATCCAAGTGGCGTCCATAGTAATGGGGACAGGGACTGTCACTGACAGGAACTGATTGGCCTGCTCTTTAATCACCTACCCCGGGGTGGGGGGGGCAGCCTTACCAGGCCACAGAGGAAGACAATGCAGCCACTCCTGATGAGACCTGATAGACTAGGGTCAGAGGGAAGGGGAGGAGGCCCTCCCTTATCAGTGGACTTGGAGAGAGACATGGATGGGGAAGAAGGAGGGTGGGATTGGGAGCGGAGGAGAGAGGGAGATACAGGGGGGATACAAAGTGAATAAAGTGTAATTAATAAAAATAAATAAGATATGGGGGAAAAAAAAAGACAGGGTCATACCATTAACGAAAGCCGGCCCTGAACTTATAGTCCCGCCTCAACCTAGGGCGAGCTGGGGTACTGTGGGTGTGTGGGTGTGTGTGTGTGTGCGCGCTTCAGGCTCCATAAAACTTGCTGAGAGGGGATAAGTACACTGTTGCTCTCTCTCATGTGAAGCACACTCTTCCATATCAATGATAGTCCTGTTGAATTTGTTTGAAGTTGCTTGTTTACTCACAAATCTGATAAGATTAAACCAGTCCCATGCCAAGTTTCACTTCAAAAGGAGTGACGTGGATAAACAAGCCGCAGTGAAAAGCTGAGGCAGGAGGATCACCAACAGCGCGAGGCTAGCCTAGGTTGTAGAACGAGACCGATTTCAAGAAAAGAAGAGCAAGGAGATGGCTCAGCTGGTACAGTGCCTGCCATGTACAATGACCTGGCAGGAATCCCCCAGAACCCATGTTAAAAAGCTGGCACGCGCTGCGTGCCTGCAATCCCAGCAGTCGGGAAGCAGACAGAGGCTGCTGGGACTTGCTGCCAGCCAGTCTGGCTGAATTGGTGAGTTCCAGGCTCACAGGCTTAGGGAGAGACCCAGTCTCAAAAAGTACGGTGGAGGACCGGGGAGATGGCTCAGCACCCTGGCCTCCACCTGTTACAGACACGCACAGCACAAGAGGCCACAGTGGTTCGGGAAGCCAGGGTCCGAGCACACTGGTCAGGTGATCCTTCGTCCTGTTTATTAGTGCTCCTCCACTAAACGTAGCCAGGCAGAGAAATGACGTGGGAGTCAAACAGACTTACGACTCGAGTTCAGACATTGGCTGCTGTAAACCCAGGCAAGACACTTAGCAGTGGGGTTTATTCCAGAGTGGAATGTAGGGAACTACCTACCTATTCATCTTGGCACACTGGTCTAGATAAAGCAGCTGGCACAGAGCCGGGCGCATGAACGATGTTGACTGAGTAGCTTCAGCTGGCGGAGGCGCCTCAGGGCAGTGGTGTGATGCTTGTGTGTTGTGAAGAACCACCCAGAAGAGACAGGGAGAGAGACTGGCTTTGAGTGTGGCTGGGAGCTTTGCTTCCGGGGGAACACGTGTGGCATGCCCATTTAGACTGCACGCCGTGCCAAGTCTCTCCCAGGGCTGCCCTCCACACCTGCCGTCTGATTGCTCCTATAGCAGCAAAGCTCAGATGTCACAAGCCCCTTTACAAGAGAGCACTGACGCCTGAACAGCTCTACCTGCTCACTTACTCACTCAGCTGAAAATGAGCCTGGGGCCAAGAAATGGAGGTTTGAGTTCAGGTAAGCGACAGGGACAAACCCAGGACCTAAAGGGGCTATGAGCCAAAACTGGGACTTCACACCTGAAATTCCAGCACTGAGGAGGCTGAGACAAGAGGACGCCCTAAATCTAAGGCAGCCTGAGCTACAGTGACACCTGTCCCCAAAGAAGAGGCTGTAAAAGCCAGGAGCGGTGATGCACACCTGTGATCCCAGCACTCTGGGGGGCAGAGTCAGGCGGGTCTCTGTGAGTTCAAGGCCACCCTGGTCTACAAAGTGAGGACAGGACAGCCAAGGCTACACAGAGAAACCCTGTCTCAAAACACACACACACAAAGGCTGTAGCCAAACATGGTCACACCTTAAAATTTTTAATCTCGGTACTCGAGAGGCAGAGGCAGGCAGATCTCTGTGAGGTCTAAGCTTTCCTGGTCTACTTAATGAGTTTCAAGACAGCCAGGCCTTACATAGAGAGACCCTGCCTAAACAAATAAACAAAAAGGCAGACAGAAGGAAGGAAGGAAAAAGGAAAGGAAGAAAGAAGGAAAGAAAGGAAGAAAAAGAAGAAAGAAGAGGCCGTGGGCCACGGTGACATCTCAGCAAGTAGAGGCACTTGCCACTTCAGCCTGACAACTTGAGTTTGTTTCCTGGCCCAGGCATGGTGAAAGGAGAAAACCAACTTCAGAAGATTGTCTTCTGACCTTTGTGCAGTTGTACACACACACACATACACACACACACACACGCATGCAAAGAGCCTCAGCTACATAGTAAGACTTTGTCTTAAAAACAAAATACAAAAACCTCTACTCTATTAGACCAGCAAGATGGCTCAGCAGGTAAAAGTGCTTGCCACCAAGTTTAGTAACCTGAGCTCAATCCCTGGAACCCCCCATGGTGGAAGGAAAGAACCAACTCCCAAAAGTTGTCCTCTGACCTCCACACAGGTGCGTGTGTGTGCACTCACTGACAAAACCTAATTTTATTTTTATTTGAAGAACTCGAGTGTCCGTGCTCGTCTCAGTATCTCCAAACCTTATTTTCCCATTCCCTTTTCACGGTTCCTTTTTCTCACTAAAGGAAAAGATTGGTTAGGAGAAGGGGGTCCTAAGGGATGAAAAAAACGTAAACAAAGACAGCAGAGGACACAACGGTTCATTCTGGTGGCGCCTTCGGGGAGTGAGGGGACGACGAAGTGCTTGGGCCTCAGCAAGGCAGGCTCTGCTGTGCTGGAAGGACCCCAGCCTGGAAACTTGACAGCCAGGCTTCAGCCAGGCATGCCTGGGGTCAGCGGACTCAGCCTCTGCCCCGTGCAGGCGTGCAGCTGG